AGCACATTAAGGTCCTAGAGTGGCCTCGCCAGTCTCGAGACCTTAATCCCATAGAAAATGTGGAGGGAGCTGAAGGTTCGAGTTGGCAAACGTCAGCCTCGAAACCTTAATGACTTGAAGATCTGCAAAGAGGAGTGGGACAAAATCCCTCCTGAGATGTGTGCAAACCTGGTGGCCAACTACAAGAAACATCTGACCTCTGTGATTGCCAACAAGGGTTTTGCCACCAAGTATTAAGTCATGTTTTGCAGAGGGGTCAAATACTTATTTCCCTCATTAAAATGCAAATCAATTTATAACATTTTTGACATGCATTTTTCTGGATTTTTGTTGTTATTCTGTCTTTCACTGTTCAAATAAACCTACCATTAAAATTATAGACTGATCATTTCTTTGTCAGTGGGCAAACATACAAAATCAGCAGGGGATCAAATACTTTTTTTCCCTCACTGTATATAGTATCGTAATTGTATAGTGAATATATAGAGTGTGGTATACAGTAGGGTTGGTAGAATAATACATATTACGTCTAATATTATTATAGTCTAAGGCAGGGGTCGGGAACCTTTTTGGCTGAGAGAGCCATGAAAGTCACATATTTTGAAATAAATTTCCGTGAGAGCCATAAAATATTTTTTAACACTGAATACAACTAAATGCGTGTATTTTTAACTAAGACCACCAATTTTAGCATATAATAAGTCTCTGAATATATCCTTTTTAATAACGTTGTTATACCAACAACCAATAATAAATAAAATACTTCATACCATTAATGCGACTTCTGGTGCTGCATGGTTTTGCTGATGGCTTTGTAGTCTGGTTGATACGTGGTGAGGTTAAGCTTCATGCAGGCGTTGAGGCTTTCATCCGTTAAACGGGATCGTAGGTTGGTCTTGATGTTTTTTAGATGTGAGAACGACTGCTCACATGAATACGTAGAACCAAACATGGTCAATACAGCAATACTCACACGCTGCAGTGTGTGGTATGTGACAGGCAGCGCGTTCCATGTTTTGACAATCAGTTGGTCTTCGGGTTGAAGTTTTTTAATTTCTGTCCACTCGTGATTGCTCGCCAGCTCTGCTTGCTGTCGTTCAAGTCTTTCCAAATCTTCATTCAGTGACTTGAACTTATTCACCCACATGTCTGAGGCCTTCAGGTCAGCAACTTCCAGCTCAAAATCTCTGATGGAGACACCAGAGATGTAACTCAGGTCGGCATTGTCCACTGCACACTCGTGTGGATGAGTGATGAACTTGAAAAGATGAGTGTGCTCACGAAATTCTCCAAAGCGTGCTTTGAATGACTGCTGGAGATCAGATGTGAAGCCAGCTAGCTGCTGGAGATCAACATGTTGAACGGGGTCACTTGCTGTGCATGCATCTTTAAATTCTCTCGTTTTTCAAAGTGCAGTAAACGACCTGTTTCAATATCCACGATGAAGAGTTCCAGCTTGTTTTCAAATGCAAACACTGCTTGTTGAAGGGATAAGACTGTATTTCCAATGCCTTGCATTTTCACATTGAGCTGGTTCAGATGTCCAGTCATGTCCACAAGATAGTAAAACTTCAGGAGCCACTCAGTGTTAGCTAGCTCAGGATGCTCGACATCTTTCATTTCAAGAAAAGTCCGGATCTCGCTCAGGAAAGCTGCAAAACGGCTGAGCACCTTCCCTCTTGACAACCAACGCAAATTGCTGTGCAAAAGCAGACCGGGATAATGATTCCCAACTTCATCCAGCATTGTTTTAAACTGGCGATCATTTAAAGCTCGGGCAACAATAAAGTTGACCACCCGAATGACCAGTGACATCACCTCACCAAGCTGCTCGCCACACATTTGAGCACAAAGCGCCTCCTGATGTAGAATGCAGTGAAGACTTAGGATTGGTCTTTTTTCATGATGACGAAGAAGCGCTACCTCTGTTTTTCCCCACCATACACGGAGCACCATCAGTACTCACCGAAATAAGCTTATCCATCGGTAGATTTTTTTTCTTTAGCGAACTCAATGAAAGACTTGAATAAATCCTCCCCTCTTGTTGACCCTTTCATTGGAAAAACAGCAAGACTTTCCTCACGCAGTGTGTCACCGGCAGCATACCTTGCAATCACACTGAACTGGGATAAATGACTTACGTCTGTTGACTCATCCAAAGCGAGGGAAAAGTATGGCGCTGCATTTATGTCCTTCACTTGTGTTTCCTCCACTTGATTTGCCATCATTATGGTACGATCGTGAACAGTTTTTTGCTGACAGAGGCATGTCTTTTATTCGTTTGATTATCTTGTCTTTATCCGAAAAGTCATCAAAAAGTTCGTTGGCCACATCAAGCATGAATGTTTTGGCATACTCGTCATCTGTGAATGGCTTTCCGTTCCTCACAATTGCTAAAGAACCAGCAAAGCTAGCCGAATTCCCATCACCTTGTCTGGTCCATACACGGAGTTGCTGCTGATTAGCTTGCACTCTGGACAGTAGCTCTTGGCATGCCTTCTTTCTGCTGTCCCCCGCTGGATATTTCGATGCAAATGTAGCATGGCGTGTGTCGAAGTGCCGCTTTATATTTGACCATTTCATCGATGAAATTTTATCATTGCATATTAGACACACCGCAGAACCTGCCCTCTCCATAAAGGCGAATTCTTCTGTCCAATCGTGCTGAAATGTGCGGTACTCCTCATCTTTTTTTCTTTTCGCCATCTTCTTCATCAAAAGGGTTTGCTCTGCATACATTAGCTAGCTGACCTTTGGATTAAAAGGACGGAAGTGTACTTCTTGACATCACAAAGACCCGTAGGCTACCGCATTATCCAATAAAAATAGAGTTTTGGTGTCAGACAGCTGGGATTGACTCCAGCCACCTGCAACCCTGAGCAGGAGCAGTAGAAAATGGATCGATGGATTAAAATGCATGAGAATGTTTTATATTTTAAACGTTATTTTTAACACTGTGATTTCTGTACTGTTTTACTTTAATGTCAGCAGAATTATTCATTACTTATCATGTTAAGAAATGTCAGCTAAGATTTATTTGCGAGCCAGATGCAGTCATCAAAAGAGCCACATCTGGCTCGCGAGCCATAGGTTGCCGACCCCTGGTCTAAGGTATAGGGTAGTGTATAGTAACGCAGTGTATAATTCAATGTTGGGGTCTGTCTATGGTAGTTTATAATTATTATTTTTTAAAAGATTAGTTGGAGGCATATTATAATAATTTTTGCGACATAGAAGTGTAATGTATAATGACTTATTGTTAGTAGCTTAGCTTATGGGAGAGTATATTGATTATATTGATGTATATTCTTAGCTCTTTCGGTAAAGTCACGTTGAAGGGAAACAATAAAATAATAAATATATATAAAACAATAAAAATTCTCACGACGTTTCGACCATAACACAAACGGTCGTCATCAGGTTTGTGTTATGGTCGAAACGTCGTGAGAATTTTTATTGTTTTATATATATTTTATTATTTTATTGTTTCCCTTCAACGTGACTTTACCGAAAGAGCTAAGAATATGAATTACTGCAGTCACGAAAGCTTTAAATAAAAAATTATATTGATGTAGTTTATATTTAGTTTTTTCATGTCGGTTTATTGTATGGTAGTAGGGTAGTTGCAGTTCTTTAGCGTCAATATGCTAAATTCTTCTGTTGATATGTATATTCAGCTTATTGGAGAGTATATTGATGTAGTTTATATTTTAGTTTTTTATCGGTTCACTATTTGGGAGTCATTATATAGTGTAGTGTATACCCAGTTACTTAATGTTAATAGCTCAGCTTATTGGAGAATATATTGAGTACATTGGTTATATTGATATAGTTTATAATTAGTTCTTTCACATATGTTTATTGTATGATAGTTGGGTAGTTGCAGTTCTTTAGCGTCAATATACTAAATGCCTCTGTTGATATGTAAACTCTGACTTTAACAGAGCCACGTCCGTGACCAGTTACATGCTAGTTCCTCATTAACATCATGCTAATCTCCCAGTTACATGCTAATTTCTGACTTTAACATCCTGCTAATCTCTCACATTAACATAGCTACTTCAATGCTAAATTATTCTGTTGATATGTAAACTCTTTTGTCAAGGTGCTCTGCTCCTCCCACCCAGCTTAAAATACACTGCCAAGTTTAGCAGTGTTCATTGGAGCGCTGTCTTTCCTACAGTTCTGTTTCTTCACCTGAGGACGGCTACTTGTGTTGTGGCCGAAACGTCGTGAGAATCTTATTTTATTATGTTTTATTTGTATTATTTTATTATTGCCCTTCTACGTGAATTTACCGAAAGAACCAAGAAGATGAATCCCTGCAGTCACGAAAGCTTTAAATCGAAATTATTCTTACAACTGAACAACATGTGCAATGACTGAACACTCTTTACAGAGTAATAATATATTTTTAAAATAAAAATTACATTATTGGCATCATAGCATTTGCTGAGGGGGAGGCTAAACAAATCGGGATGAAGATTTCCTTGGCCAAAGCCGGTAACGTCACCGCCACTCAACATCACTTCAGCAACTGCTGCACAGACAACACCTAGCCTCAAAGGTTTAGTGTCCTCCATAAAAGAGGTTTTTGGGTTAGATCGTGTAACAGGCTGACAGCCTGATGATGCTAGTTGTAATTGCTGGTGAAACATCGCACTGAAATTGTAAATGTTGTAGATTTACTCTCAAACACACCGGCTACATCTTTTGGACATCTGTATGTACAATATGTATGTTGAACTTCTTTAGCAATGTACGTAGCCAACCGTGCTTATTGGACTACCTGTGAAAAAGGGCTCCATAGCTCATCGGACTTTTCCAGGATAAATCAATAAAAAATAATCCAATTTACAATGCTGTCTTTCCACGTTCTAGTCCACACCTTCAAGTCGCACTATCTTGTCACTTAGCATCCCTGGCTTCCTCCGTATGCACCTGTGACCACACGAACATGACTGCTGCACATATGACTGGCCGTGACTGTTGCCCGTTACCGCTTGCTCTTGTCCGCTCCCGCGGGCCCCGCCTCATGCATGGGGTCTGACCATGTGACCACCACCAGGGTGGGCAGAACGCGCACCTTGAGGTCGCGGGGGGGCGCGAGCCTCGTAGCCTCTGCTGGCATGCGACATGTGACAACAACGCGATGTGACAACGCACCGTGAGGATAGTGTGTGCGACACTCGTGGAGATACACAGTGCCACTTTAAAAACACAAATCAACACTTACCTATGACCACCAATTAACCAAACACGGTCTGTTCTATAACGCCGCGTGTTGTTTTCATAACGCGAATTGGAAATAACGCGTTGAATGCATTAGGAAACACATTTTTTTATAACGCGGATGCGAATTAGATATAACGTGATTGAGTGAACGGAACCACGTTGCGCGAGTAGGAATAAGCGGTTATACGGCTGCCTCAGCATAGCATCATCACACAAGGTGGAATGCTGCTGGATGCTTCTAGATGCAACCCACGCACCTCAGTCTTTGTTCAGCCTGCATACACATCTCATGTGTTATTACGGACTGTGCTTTACCCTATATCATGGATTATAATGCAATTTTTCCATTACACGGCGTTCGTCAGGAACGCAACTGCCGCATTGCAGGAGAACAGACTGGATTATGGACCATACCGTAAACCACTGCAGTCTGCGCTCCTTTAATGGAGGACGAATAGCAAAACTTTGCGAACTCTCTCCTGAAGCCCTCTCGTCGTGCTCAGCAGACCTCGACATTGCCATCTTGCTCCCGAGCACATCGATTGCCGCCCGCCATTCGCAACCACAGAATACACATGAGCCTGCCTGAAGCAGCATTATTTTCTCCTTTCCTTCACCGATTGCGTCGGCTCGGTCACTTGCAAGTGTTGTGCGCAAAGACGAGATTAAAATTGGTTGCAGCAGCTTTCTACCTTGCTCATCGACGTCCCGTTCCCCGCCATAGAAGCGAAGGAGCTGGCGAGCTCCGCTGGGCACATGCAGCGTCACTCGCGGCGGTACGCGGGCACCTGGCACGCGCATCTCTGGCAAAGCCCAAGAGGGGAGACGGGGAGGAGGGAGGCGATTTGAATTAAATTTGCTCTTGGGCAGCAACAGCAGCAGAACTCCCACATGCAGATCTTCCCCCGGGAGGGACGGGCACTTTATAACAAAGAACAGAAACCTCACAAAACCATTTTGTCGATGAATCTGGGTGAAAATGCAATAACTCTAACAGCTGTTTTTTTAAATTTTTCTTTAAAACGTTCCAATTGTGGAAAAAAGTTAATCATTGTGTTGGCATGTTACCGCACGGTATGTTTGACCATACCACACCTCAGGGTTAGCTACGTACGGTGCGAAAGAAGTTCAACATACATACATATGTAGTGACATAGCGCTGACTGTTGTACAGCAGCTGCAACTGCAGGTGGACACTTAGCGCACACGCCGTTCAGAATATACACGGGTGTGCCGGCAGGGCGTAGGAACTAGGGCTAGGGTCACGGTAGACCTCGTGGGAAAGCCCCTGGAACCCTGTGATGGGCCCGAGAAGGGAGGCGCGGCTAGAGCGGAGCCAAGCTGCGCCGAGGGGAATATAAGCAGCAGAGAGCGAGAGCTGCAGGCTGCCGGTTCTGGGAGTGGACTCGTCTCGTCGTCGCTGTTGTCGTCGCCGCCTTCGCCCGATCATTGCGCGGCCGGACAGTAGTTGGCTGTCTCGGTCGACGCCGTCGGTACAACGCGGACAGGGTCTTGTCTAGGCCAGGTCGTGCGGCAGCGTGGTCATGAGAGAGGGGGGGCCGGAGTTGGTAGCGTGAACAGAACAATAAAAGGGAAGGACGGTGCCTCCTGCGACTAGTTCTTCTCTGACCGAGTGTGTGCGCGACGCACGCCACCCGCACACACACACAAGCCTTGAGAAAAAGGAAGAAGAGACCTACGACACTGCAATTGGTGTCAGAAGTGGGGTATAAAAACCCACCTATCGTGTCGTCGGGATGAGGATGGCAAGATGGTCATCCCTCCGACAGCCCCAGGACCCAGGATCCCGGTTACAAAGCCCGTGGGCTGCTGGGCAGCGGAGGAGCCGCCACGGATCGGCAGGACAGCTGCTAAGCAAAATGTGCGGGGTGATCGGCTACGCATCCACGAGGGGAGAGTGGCTGGGAGTCGACGGAGGGAGTGGCTACACGTCGACGGAGAGAGAGCTGCTGGGCGTTGACGGCGAGAGTGGCTACGCAAGACGGCGGGAGCAGCTGCGCATCAACGGCAAGAACAGTTGACCATTGACAGAGAGAATGGCCGAGCGTCGACTGCGGGAGTGGCTACGCCAGGTGACAGGAGCGGCTGCGCATCGACAGAGAGAGAGGCTGCACATTGACGGAGAGAGAGCAGTTTCATGTCAACACGGAGAGCGGAGGCTGCACCTCGACAGGGAGAGCGGCTGAGATTTTCCCGTGGTCACGCGCTGACCAAGCAGCATGGCGGGGGACCGCCATGTGGAGAGAGGATCACGCGAGCTATGTCCCGGTATGAGGAGACTCTCCCTTGCACTGAGACAGGATCTGGGGGTGTCGCCGATTCGCAGGACGGTGCCTCCTGCGACTACCTGGTCTCCGACTGAGTGTGTGCACAACGCACGCTACCCGCACACACACGCCTCGAGCAGAAGGAAGAAGAGAAGAAGAGACCTACGACGCTGCAGATACATCGCCACGCTGGTCAGTGAGAGATCAAGGTGGAGAAGAGTTCAAAACAACAATGGGGTTTGCTCCACGGGATGTGGGATCACTACGCACAGTAACGGGTGCTATAGGCTGCACAGTTAAAGATGCTATAGGCTGCACAATAACATGTGCTATAGGCTGCACAGTAACGGGTGCTATAAGCTGCACAATAACAGGTGTTATAGGCTGCACAATAACAGGTGCTATAGACTGCACAGTAACAGGTGCTATAGGCTGCACAGTAATAGGTGCTATAGGCTGCACAGTAATGGGTGCTATAGGCTGCACAATAACAGGTGCTATAGACTGCACAGTAACGGGTGCTATAGGCTGCACAGGAACGGGTGTTATAGGCTGCACAATAACAGGTGCTATAGACTGCACAGTAACAGGTGCTATAGGCTGCACAGTAACGGGTGTTATAGGCTGCACAGTAACGGGTGCTATAGGCTGCACAATAACAGGTGCTATAGGCTGCACAGTAACAGGTGCTATAGGCTGCACAGTAACGGGTGCTATAGGCTGCACAGTAACTGGTGCTATAGGCTGCACAGTAACAGGTGCTATAGGCTGCACAGTAACGGGTGTTATAGACTGCACAGTAACAGGTGCTATAGGCTGCACAGTAACGGGTGTTATAGACTGCACAGTAACGTGTGCTATAGACTGCACAGTAACGGGTGCTATAGGCTGCACAGTAACGGGTGCTATAGGCTGCACAGTAACGGGTGTTATAGGCTGCACAATAACGGGTGCTATAGGCTGCACAGTAACGGGTGCTATAGGCTGCACAGTAACGGGTGTTATAGGCTGCACAGTAACAGGTGCTATAGACTGCACAGTAACGGGTGCTATAGGCTGCACAGTAACAGGTGCTATAGACTGCACAGTAACGGGTGCTATAGGCTGCACAGTAACAGGTGCTATAGACTGCACAGTAACAGGTGTTATAGGCTGCACAGTAACAGGTGCTATAGACTGCACAGTAACAGGTGCTATAGACTGCACAGTAACGGGTGCTATAGGCTGCACAGTAACGGGTGCTATAGGCTGCACAGTAACGGGTGTTATAGGCTGCACAATAACAGGTGCTATAGGCTGCACAGTAACGGGTGTTATAGGCTGCACAGTAACAGGTGCTATAGGCTGCACATTAACAGGTGTTATAGGCTGCACAGTAACAGGTGCTATAGGTTGCACATGTAACAGGTGCTATAGGCTGCACAGTAATGGGTGCTATAGGCTGTACAGTAACAGGTGCTGTAGGCTGCACAATAACAGGTGCTATAGGCTGCACAGTAACAGGTGCTATAGGCTGCACAATAACGGGTGCTATAGGCTGCACAATAACGGGTGCTATAGGCTGCACAATAACAGGTGCTATAGACTGCACAATAACAGGTGCTATAGGCTGCACAGTAACGGGAGTTATAGGCTGCACAGTAACAGGTGCTATAGGCTGCACAGTAACAGGTGCTATAGGCTGCACAGTAACGGGTGCTATAGGCTGCACAATAACACGTGTTATAGGCTGCACAGTAACAAGTGCTATAGACTGCACAGTAACAGGTGCTATAGGCTGCACAGTAACAGGTGTTATAGGCTGCACATTAACAGGTGTTATAGACTGCACAATAACGGGTGTTATAGGCTGCACAGTAACAGGTGCTATAGGCTGCACATTAACAGGTGTTATAGACTGCACAATAACAGGTGCTATAGGTTGCACATGTAACAGGTGCTATAGGCTGCACATGTAACAGGTGCTATAGGCTGCACAGTAACAGGTGCTATAGGCTGCACATTAACAGGTGTTATAGGCTGCACAGTAACAGGTGCTATAGGTTGCACATGTAACAGGTGCTATAGGCTGCACATGTAACAGGTGCTATAGGCTGCACAGTAACAGGTGTTATAGGCTCCACAGTAACAGGTGCTATAGGCTGCACAATAATGGGTGCTATAGGCTGCACAGTAACGGGTGTTATAGGCTGCACAGTAACAGGTGCTATAGGCTGCACGATAATGGGTGCTATAGGCTGCACGTGTAACAGATGCTATAGGCTGCACAGTAACATGTGTTATAGGCTGCACAATAACAGGTACTATAGGCTGCACAATAACGGGTGCTATAGGCTGCACAGTAACGGGTGCTATAGGTTGCACAGTAACAGGTGCTATAGGCTGCACAATAACAGGTGTTATAGGCTGCACAGTAACAGGTGCTATAGGCTGCACAATAACGGGTGTTATAGGCTGCACAAAACAGGTGCTATAGGCTGTACAGTAACAGGTGCTATAGGCTGCACAGTAACGGGTGCTATAGGCTGCACAGTAACAGGTGCTATAGGCTGCACAATAACGGGTGCTATAGGCTGCACAATAACGGGTGCTATAGGCTGTACAGTAACAGGTGCTATAGGCTGCACAGTAACGGGTGCTATAGGCTGCACAGTAACAGGTGCTATAGACTGCACAGTAACAGGTGTTATAGGCTGCACAAACAGGTGCTATAGGCTGTACAGTAACAGGTGCTATAGGCTGCACAGTAACGGGTGCTATAGACTGCACAGTAACGGGTGCTATAGGCTTCACATGTAACAGGTGTTATAGGCTGCACGTGTAACAGGTGTTATAGGCTGCACAGTAACAGGTGTTATAGGCTGCACAGTTACAGGTGCTATAGACTGCACAATAACAGGTGCTATAGGCTGCACATGTAACAGGTGTTATAGGCTGGACAATAACAGGTGCTATAGGCTGCACATGTAACAGGTGTTATAGGCTGCACAGTAACAGGTGCTATAGGCTGCACAATAACAGGTGCTATAGGCTGCACAGTAACAGGTGCTATAGGCTGCACATGTAACAGGTGTTATAGGCTGCACAATAACAGGTGCTATAGGCTGCACAATAACAGGTGCTATAGGCTGCACAGTAACAGGTGCTATAGGCTGCACAGTAACAGGTGCTATAGGCTGCATATCAAAAGGGGAAATAGGCTGCATTGCAACAGGTGCTATAGGCTCCTGGGATCGCGGTAAAATCCACTGCTGCCCTGCTCTATGCTCCCACATCTCTGCTCTTCGCCTTCCATCAACCCGCAATGACCAGGGTGGTGAAGTATGGTGATGGAAGACAATACTATGCACGTCTGCGTACACAAACTACAAGTACTGTACCTGTACAGTTCAACAAAAATACAAAGATCCCCTGTGTAGCCTTAACAGACTGTTGGGGCAAGTTCTGTTAGCGAGGAGCACTTATCAAGGCCAGAACAGCACACGAGGGGGTTCGTGACCAGCACCACGCCCGGCCGCCTTTGTCTCCTCGTGGCGATGTTTACTACACACCGCACCAGGTACTCGTTTAAGCCTCAGTTGACCCTAGGGGAGGACCAGGACCGGATCAGACAATCGCCAGCGGTGTTGGGCGTGAGCGGGAATCGAACAGCGCGCTAACCGCTCCGCCACCGCTCCCCACTCATCCGCACTCAGAGGTTCCTCCCAAGCCCACCTCTCACGCCTCTCCCAGGTGCCCCCCACGCCTCAAGGTGCCGAGGTGCCCCCCACGCCTTACCGGGGCGACCAGCGCTCACAGCGGCGAGCAGCGCGGCGCAAGCGAGCAGCCCGCGGTAGCTCTCCATGACTGAACGCGGAGGAGCGGCGCCTCTCACCTCGCTCCACTCCTCACTCCTCCCTCAGGGCACTCCTCACTCCACTCCTCACCCTACTCCTCCCTCCCTCCACTCCTCCCTCACGACACTCCTCGCTCCACTCCTCCCTCCCTCCCTCCACTCCTCACCTCACTCCTCCCTCCCTCCACTCCTCCCTCCCTCCCTCCACTCCTCACCCCACTCCTCCCTCACGACACTCCTTGCTCCACTCCTCACCCCACTCCTCCCTCCCTCCACTCCTCACCCCACTCCTCCCTCACGACACTCCTTGCTCCACTCCTCACCCCACTCCTCCCTCACGACACTCCTCACCCCACTCCTCCCTCACGACACTCCTTGCTTCACTCCTCACCCCACTCCTCCCTCACCCCACTCCTCCCTCACGACACTCCTTGCTCCACTCCTCACCCCACTCTTGCCTCCCTCCACTCCTCACCCCACTCCTCCCTCACGACACTCCTCACCCCACTCCTCCCTCGCCCCACTCCTCCCTCACGACACTCCTTGCTCCACTCCTCCCTCCCTCCACTCCTCCCTCCACTCCTCACCCCACTCCTCCCTCCCTCCACTCCTCCCTCACGACACTCCTCCCTCCCTCCACTCCTCACCCCACTCCTCCCTCACGACACTCCTTGCTCCACTCCTCACCCCACTCTTCCCTCGCTCCGTGTCCGCGCTCTCACCCCTTGGGGGGGTGCCCAGGGCTGTTCCCCGCCCCGGATCGGCGGCGGAGGGGGGTTTGCATCCCTGGTCGACTCAGCGCCCGCAGCTCCGTCGGTCGCCTGCATCCACTGCATGGACGAGGACTTCTGCGAAACGTCGCCACCTCTCTGCAGGGTCGTGCTGCGATTGTAACGACCCAGCCAGAATCCGCGCGGGTTTCACCCTCCACGGCTGACACCCCCCCTACCCCCAAACTCAGACGCATTCCTTCACGAGGCTGCCACTCCATTATTAACATTGACCCTTGTCCTTCAAGTATGTTCATTAAACTTATTTTGCACCGTGCGTAGCTGTGGGGGCTGACGCCCACCTCCTCTCCCCCAACCTCCTCCTCGGCCACTTCCAGCCGGGCCCCCGCCGATCGGGTGATTGCCCCCCCCCCGCACCAGCGCCCTCTGAGGGACGTGGAGAAGCGGCTGGCTCACCACCGCCCGGAGTTATCCCACACATTCCCCACGTACACCACCCCTAATGTGAAGGTGGCTGCGTGCACGCGCGTGCCCGTGCAAGTGCACGTCGCCCACCACGGCTAGCGCTAAAAATAGCCGTATGAATATGCACGCGCGCCCCTCCCCCCTCCTCGGAGGGATGAGGGTACGAGAGGTCTCTGCCTGGGGTCGAGTCGTAGCAGCGCTCGCCAGTGTCCCTCGGATGCTGCGAGCGACTGGGAGTTGGACCGGGCAGCTGAACGGCTGCAGAACCACTCAAGGTTGTTTCCACTCCCTCCTTTCATGCCCTCGGAATCCAAAGATCCAGGGTCACGTTGTGTTATCCTGCACGGCCAATCGAGTGCCTACCTTTCGATTTTAAACCGATGGGCCGCCCTTACCTGGAGCCGTCCTTCCAGAGCACCTTCACCCATTGTTTACGCACCCGTCCTCCCCACCCCAGTCACAACCGGTTTGGTCGGGGTGGCCGTCTCGCAGAATACACAGCTGCAGTCGGTCCAGGAATTTCCCTCCCACCTCCTCTTATGCGCTGCTCGCTAAGTGCTTGCCCTCGAGACCCTATCTCCCTGTGCTGTGAGTGTCCCATTGCGGTTAGCCCGGTGAGCTTCGTCGCGCCCATACAATTTTAAGCCAATTCACAGGGCCGCAATGCAATTTGGCCTGGGGGAGGGCCAGCCAATCTCCTGGCACTGGGAAACCGTGGGACATCCCCGCTAGGGGCCCCTCGGGTAAAAACCCATGGTATCAGGTGACTCCCCCACGAGACCCTACGTGGGTGCGTGTGTGTGTTTAGTGGGGGTGTGCGTGCGTTCGTGTTGAGGGGTGCGAGGGGATGGCAGCGCCGGCGGAGTTGCTCCATTGCTGTGGCACCACATAGCTAAACCGTGCTAATCGGAGGTGTGGGGGAAGGACTAACTAAAAACAAAAAGCAGTTCGAAAGAATTGAGTTTTCAATTCAGATTTTAAAATGCACAGCTCCAGTGTCTTCCCTAATATCGGAAGAGAGTTCCAGACGGCCGCAGAAGCACATCCGAAAGCGCGCGATGCAGTGACGGACCGTCTTTGTTCGAGGGTTAACCCTAAGCTGCTGCTAGGATGACCAGAGTTCACGTGATGGTTCATGCTCCTTAACGAGTGCAGCAAGGTGGTGTCGTTCATTTGTGGCAAGCATGCCTCTAGCAACACGTCCTGCCGCGGCCAGACTACTTTTCTGAACAATTTGAACGTCATCCGTCAGCAGCCGCTGCGTGCGTGCGATCTCGAGTTCGTGCTCCCCTATCTGGCTAATTTCAAGCACGCATCTATCTGTGCGTGATTATCTGCGCAATCAAGTTTTTGTTGTGGTTTTCATTAATTGCCGTGTCTTACACATTGTCATAGAAGTGGTTCTATGACAATGTGTAAGTGGGGGGTACGAGATGCCCTTTCTGGGGGTACGCGACATGGCCAGATATCTTCAGAAGGTAAATCGAAACACAAATTAAGCACGGGGACGTAAGTACAACTTACTTTGTTTCATCAAACCCTGTTTTTTATTAACATTATACAGTTTTGTAACGATTGAGAAACAAAGGGGTGCAAGACTGCAGTAACGTACTCTTTGGTTCTATTCGGTAAAGTCACATAGGTAAAAAATGAAACAAATCACGTGACTTTTCCGAATAGAACCAAAGAGTATGGATCCTTGCAGTCACGAAAGCTTTAAATCTAGAACTGCAGTAATGGTTAAGGAAACCCCCATTATAGAAGAAAGTAGACGCGTCGACTCAACACTTTGTTCTTTAAGCACATTGGTGGCACTTGTTTGACCCGGGCAGTCCGCTGTTTGGCATCTGTATTGCGGAGGCAGGAGTTGATGCGATGCTCCACCAAGAGAACACGTTCGGTCATCGCATTTCAACGATGCCGCCGCCAATAAATACGATGCTGTGGGGAAAACGACACTGTGCAAAACCAAGGTGCGGTTGCAACCGTTTGTAATGTATGCACATCAGGTATCTATCCATGTGTAGTGACATAAATGGTGTCACTACTGTGTAGCGACAGTACCGAGTGAAGAGTGGTACTGTATGCGTGGTGCCGCTCTATTGCACCAGTGTATGGCACGGAATGGCTCACGAGAGGGCACGGTCCGGGTGTCACTGAGGTCGGGTGAGGACATATCCTGCGAAAACCCGCGAGAGCACGTGACTGGACGAGGGGGCACGGGGACCCCCAGGAGGGGGTGAGCGGGCCACATGATGTGGACCCAGACCCTCCGCGAAGGATCGAGAAGGGCGCGTGACCAGGGGCGGAGCCCGGTCACACCACAGGAGATATAAGCCGAGTCCCGAGAGGGAGCGTGGCTGTTCAACCCGGAAAAGAAGTTACCTTCTTCGATCCTCGCTCTTCGGTCGCCGCACACGACAACCCGACGACGTGTTGGCTGTTCTGGTGGGTCAACTCTGGGAATGAAGCCGCCATCTACGATCCTCGGTCTCCGGTCTTCGCTCGTGGACCAGGCAGCCTGTTAGCTGTCCTGGTCCGACTCTTTAGCTATCTCCTCGAGTGTTTGTTAGGAGCGGTGGTCACCACCCTATGCCGTTATCCTGTTAACGTGAAGAGTTACCTGTTGTGTTAGTTAATCAAACGTGTTGCCTCCAAGTTCAAGTGTGCGCCTCAATTGAACCCACTACATATGTAAGAAATAAAGATTACACTTTCAAGTGAATACATATTTCCTAGTGTTGTATTTATTTCCCACCACAAAAGCATGCAAACTTTTATTTTGGAAATTATAACCAAAATTATACCCATACGCTACAGTATAAAAACACGCTGTTGGACAGCAACAAGTTAATCTTGCACCAACATGAAAAAAAAACGCTTGATATTAATGTGAGAAGAATGTGGGAACTTATTCGTTTGAGGTCGATTTGCCTCGATGCTGTGAGAAGCACCTAAAAGTGTCGTTTATCTCTTGGATACCTCTATGCATTGCACACTAGATCGGAAGAAGCAAAGCGTGCTAACTCCTGTATCTAAATCATTTACAAATTATAATTTTAACATTAACAGCATGACACATCTGAAGGTTACAATGTTACATTTGAAAATGACACTTAACAACTTGGTCAAACAGACATACGTCTGTAAAAGTTTTGCTATTGCAGTGAATGCCGCTGATATGAAAGGAAAGAATGGCTTGGGAGGAGGGGGCAAATATGGAAATGGTCAAGTGGCTTGGAGGGGCGTCTGGGTGAAAGACAAATTGTGGACTAGCAGCCAAGCACAGGTATCTCTCCGATTCACCAACGTTCCCTTCCTGACATTTCGCGTGAACGCAGAAAAATTACGGACACTTTTCGATCCACGAAATGGCCATGTTAATGCAATTTCACTCCGGCCACGCGCCGTGAAATCGTACAACGAGAAGCACCCCGGGGAGGCTGCGTCGCCACCCATCCCTGACAGCGCCACGGTGTCCCTGCAGTCCAGCAGTAATGCCTCCACATCCCCTTGCCAGTTGTTCCAACATTACACATCTTTTGGCGAGTTCCCCGAAAAGCTTTTTGTTTTAAATAATTCAGTTTTAATAATCACGTTTATTATACGTATTGTGAAAAGTGATAAAGGAGTATATTTTTAGGTTAGAAGTAGAGTGGAATGACTGTCAGAAGCACAAACATGCAAATACAGGCGTCCCTCGCGTAACGTGTAACAAGCGTTCCTGAAAAACAGCGCGCAAGTCGAATTGTGCTGTACGAAGCCGATTTTCCCATAGACATACATGTTATAAGCGGGAGTGCATTACCGAAGAAAACTTAAGTATAATTTAATTGAAGTATTTTAGCCCTGGATTTACAAAAGAAACCATGTATAAATGTAATATTTAATAATATTAATATTACAAAGATTACTTAACAAGGAGTTTAACAATAAGATAACTAGGATGGAAAAGATTACTATTTTGAATCTCTATAATTGAAAAAACATTTTTCTTTTTCACAATTAATTGTTACAATGTTTTTTTGTTTCTTGAGCGCGTAAACTGTGCAATGCAGAGCGTAAGTGTGAAGTTAAAAGACGAATCACGTAACTGCGAATTTTCGCTATGGGGGGGTGCATTACGCAAGGAATACCTGTACAATAATGCCAAAAGCTATAAATACATTAATGCCTCCGTGCAATTTGGATACATTAGCTGGTGTCATGCAGATTTGACATTTTACATTGATATGATTTCATTCTTTTGTTAAATAACTATACCGCTCCTCTTTATGCAAAGGACTTGGAATATATCTTAGCAATAACTCTCAGGTGCACCTACATGAGAGTGTTATAAAGTTTCATTCAGGGCTTATCAGGCGACAGCTACATCTGGCTGTCGCCTAATGAAGCTAGTTGTAATTACTGGCGAAACGTCATACTTGGTTTGTAAATGTTGTGGCTTCGCTCTCCAATACACCGGTGTGCTGTACTAGTGACGAATTGGCATGTTCTGTTTACATGACAACCCTGACTAGTTGGCTATGTCGGGTGGTGGCGGGTTTAACGACTTGACCGAAAGAACCAAGAACATGAATCCCTGCAGTCACAAAAGCTTTAAATAAAACACATATATGTTTACGCGATCTAACCCAAAAACCTCTATTATGGATGATATTGGTCGTGAAAGCCTACGTGTTAAACTTAAAAGCCAGTTTGCTGGGAAGTGAATTCCAAGGCTTGGGGCCAGCATACAAGAAGGCACGCTCCCCACACTTGTTTTTTACGTCACTGTTTGGTATTTACAGGAAAATGTATTACGAGGAGAAACAGGAATCAGAATTAATTTTAAACGTGCTCACGAATATTTACACGCAGTGCGACAAGCGTGAAGGACCTGCATAGCTTGGAGCTAACTTTTAAAAACCCTTGCTCAAGCAGGGTTTTTAAAAGTGCATGGCACTGTCGTGAAGGGACAACGCAGGGCAGCGGTGAGATTACAAGGAACCATCGTAAAAAAAACCCCCAAATAATCTTCTGATGGAAGCCAACAAAATATCTACACAAAGAATTACAGCTCGTAATCAAGAATGTACAAGGTACAGTGCACCGATAACAAGGAATGGCATCCTTCTGTCACTTTCACCACCGTCATCTTCTCATATCTGTGCTGATGATCGTAACATGTAGTTTAGGTTCAAGGTTTAGATGCCTGCGGGAGAGAGGAACAACATTTTACGTTTATAATTATTAAGTGTATTTACCAAGGAAAGCCTCACTGGCTCTCAAAACTCTTTTTTAGGAGGGTCCTGTCAAGTTTTTTGCAGCAGCTGCTGCGTGCAAGCCGAATTGAGTGAATTGTTTTTCAGCATTGGGATGGTTGGCTAATACCAGTCAGTTTTTTTAGCTTTGTGAAAAAAACTAGAGAACCCCATGCAGAACAGGGGGAGAACAAGGGTTTTTCTCCAGGTTCTCTGGAGGAAATACTATAATTCCTTTACAGTTATCACACAATGCCACCTGCCACTGTGGTGAGGATTTGGAATAATAATAATTTCGGAGACAGTTCATGTTATTTGAGCATACACAGTTAATATTATGGGATATGTGCAAAGCCAATTCCCAACACAATGTTGATCCCGTGACTTATCTGGATGTGTCTACCATGGTTACACGTTAACCAGAGTGCAGCCTTGTGGTGCTGGAGCGAGTGAGTGAGCCCACGTGGGTGTGCGGGCCAAGTGCCTGCGTGGGGTTTAGTTGCATTATGTTAATCCGTGGGAAATCTCGTACCTTGCTGGAAGGAGATTTCTTACGCGACATGGATTGGCGAAGGCGACGGATGATCGGCCAGGAACGCTGGACACAAATGGATACGCGCTCATTCATATGCACTCGTATACCATACAAGCAGATGACACACAGCTCATGACACCATCCATGACGTGATGCATTGGCAACAGATCTGAAACGAATATCTTCCAGTAGAGAAGGGAGAAAGAGGGAGAGGGGGCGGGAGTAGAAGCTGCATCGCTGTAAAGCGAGGGGGAGAGTGAGGTTGCCGCGCGCAACGCGTACCTGGGGATGGTCATCTCGACGCGGCGACGCCCGGGGCGGCGGCCTCTCGCGGGGGGTGGCCGGTACCACAAAGCACATGGTGGCCGACTTCTTACTCTGTGGGAAGCACAGGGGACAGCAGCGTGGCACCGTCAGCGTGACGTAGGCTGTCGGGCAATACGCTCGCGTTGGATCAGCTTGCGAATGAGCAAGAGGCGTAACATTCACGGAAATCAACAAGCAGAATAATTATCCTCACTGTGTCCCAACACTCTTTTTCAGGATGGTCCTGTTGCTGCTGTGTAATCCCATTCGAGCAATATTTGGGAAATTTTTCAGCAATACGATTTGACCAATACTATTTACATTGGATGTTTTCTTAACTCTGGGAGGAGACTGGAGAATCTGGAGGAAACCCATGCGGAATCGGGGGAGAAGGTACAAACAGCACGTAGAAAGTCAGCCTCGTTGGGAATTGAACCCAGGTCCTTCTTGCTGCGAGCACTGTACCACCTCCCTGCTAGGCAAGAATCACCGAATAGCTCCAGCTGTTGATAATCTGTAAGAGTTGCATATTTTGGGCTCTTAACAATTCAGCCCCGGCATAATTAAACAAAATCGTATAATTTGGGGTTTGTATACTAATCATGAAAAAACATGGTAATAAGTCAGATGGTGAAGTTTGTTTGACTTTTGTGATTAGGTAAGGTGTGATGGATCAGGGAACTGATGACGTGCCCAGATATGTATTAGTTGACATTCTCTTGAGCTTCAGAGCTTGAGACCACCAGTCACATGATGTTCAGTGTCTTAAGTAAAATACTAACTTAAAGCTTTCGTGACTGCAGGAATTCATATTCTTTGGGTCTTTCGGTAAAGCCACGTAGATAAAAATAATAACAATATCACGTTTCGATCGCAACACAAGCAATCGTCATCAGGTGAAAAAAATATATAGCGGGAGAGCTGCTGAGGCAGATATATATTTTTCCTGCCTCAGCAGCTCTCCCGCTAGATATTTTTTCACCTAATAACAATTGCTTGTGTTGCGATCGAAACGTCGTGATATTGTTATCCTTTCTATTATTTTTTCTATCTACGTGGCTTTACCGAAAGACCCAAAGACTATAAAATACTAAGATGTGCGCATCTACCAATGCCCGCTCATGCTCCACGAATTGCACTGGTCACATGGCACATAGGGGGACAGCGCGAGGGCCATGCGGTGGCTTAAATTGACACTGACCACGACGACCTCTGGACCTTATGCACAGAGCTGCAACGTTACCTCCGGTGAGCATTCTGTGTTGTGGCCGATCCCAGATTTCCGTTTTCGCATGTCCGCATTTGCGTCGGCGAGCGCGGGGCGGAGGAACATGCGGCGTGCTGTCATTTCTGGTTTTGCCGTGCACAGATCCTCACCCGGCATGAATGTCTGTTACACACGTGTACACACACACACACAGCCGAAACATGTGTGTGCATTTCCATCACGTACGTTCAAAACTGCACAAGCTTGTCACTTTGTTGTAAACGATTACCACTGCACGTGTGCATTTTTCATGGTTGCCTCCTCCTTATTGTGGGTTTTGTCACATGCAAATAAATTCAAAGAATTGGGCCTCCCCGAGGCTTTCCTAGGTAAAGGACTACGAGTATTAGTGTTGTGATAGCTATGGGCATCTGTGATATCTTGATGAGAATAACTGTCTAAAAGTGCTCCACTGCAACTCACCTCCACTTTCAGTGGGTAGCAGGATCGCAGGTGAGGCAGGGTTGCTTGGTTGCGCTTTCCCAATTCTTCCTGACGTAGCAAATGGTCGTTTCTGGTGTCGCTTTTCTCAGAAAAGTCCACCTTGCAATTGACCGGTGGCTGGTTTTCCTGCAAACCCTCCGTGTAGCAAGCGCTAGTCCCCAGTGCTGCTCTGGGCTGCCGCCGAGGCAGAGCGTGCGCGCCAAGTCCCTGGCGCTCAAGTTCATCCCATTCGGCTTCTGGGTCTGGCTCGTCTACGCAGCTCATGTAATACGATGCATTTCCTGGAAAACAACGCACGGATAATTGATGCAAACGCTGCTGTGCAATGTGTGCATTTCATAATCAATATTTTTATTCCGCTTGATTACCCAGAAAAGCCTTGCTGCGTCTCAAGACTCATTTTCAGGAGGGTCCTGTCAGGTTTTTGCAGCAGGGGTGACGTTGCTTTGCGCAATCTCCATTGAGTTATTTGCGGTAAATTTTTAATAAAGTTTGGAAAATTTGAACCGTGCCAGCAGCACATAATGGCCTGCTCATTTCGAACGACGTCACGGGATCTTAAACGTCCGCTATGAGGCAGACGGCGCACATTTTATGGTTAATACTCCCGTAGTTATAACCAGGGCGGCCTGCCAGATTCGAATAAGAGGCCAACGCGCTACCGCTGGGCCGCGCCATTGGCCCCGCTACTGCGATCACGAGCTTCTCGCGTGCACGTTCCCACCGGGGTGCATGTGGACGACCTGAAGGAGAGCGCATGACAGCTCACCCTTGCGACGCCGCGTCGTTGGCGGGGCCTGCAACTGCTCCAGGTTGCGGCCATCGGTTCCGTGTGGACCGAGGGGCCGGTAGCCAGGGAGGCTCCGCAGGCTGGCGTCGGACAAGCGCCCAGACCTCATGTCCTGTACAAACAGCAGCGGTGTCCCCACCAGTTACTCGACACAAGCTTCACACAACCCAATAGTATCGTGCTGCCAGTTTACAAGTTTGTTTGGTTTAGTGTTACGTTTAAAAAAACAGGACCGTTATTTCGATTGAACATTACATATATAACACGTACAATTTCACAACCAAAATTACGGTTCATAATTGCTTTTTGGCTCAGGGCCACATAATAATCTGGCCCAATTTTTGGTGCAAGGGACCCATCACCACCCAATATAGCCAAATTAATTTTGTAACGTACGAGCGTCTAATGTTCCAAATTGGTATTGTTTCAGCTCACCGGTGAGTTGAACAACAATCCTCACAACCAGATTTGCAGGAAAAGTTATTCAACTTACCGGTGAGTCGAAGCAATAATACCTGCTGCAATAAACCATTATACACGTGACAATTGTAATTATTTGGCTGTGTCAGGTGGCAGAGGGTTTTACGTCAAAAAAGTTTGGCCACATCATGATGTGTCCTAACCTAAAATCAACTCTGAATCGTCCTCTCTACGTTGTAATTTCTCAGTTCCAGTACCTCAAGCTGCAGGGAATTCTGGGAAGTGAAGGTGTCGAGCGTCACAAACGAAGCGGAGGATGCTGGGAATCCCAGCGACCAGTTGGAAGACTGCACGGGTGTGGGTCTGTCCCCATGGGAGCGCAGCTCGTAGGCTGTGGTGGTGCTGCTGCGCATCGTGGACGCACTGCTTGACACGCTGTCACGCCGACACGACTCCACCTTCTGCAGCACAGGGGGAGCGGCTCGTTACGCAGGCCGATACGACGGGGAGTGTTTTGTGGAGAGATCGTATTTTGGAGTGCCGTGACTGCCGTGCAGGTTCACAGCAGGAGGCAATGTTGTTGCTGTCTATAATCGCCAGAGCGATTTGGAGGTAATTTTCTAATTTGAACGATGCGACATGCAATGGCCTACTCGTTTTTGAATGACTTCACGAGATCTTTACTGCCCACTGTAGCAGATGGCACATACTTATGGTGAATACACCGGCAATAATAAACAAGGCGGCCGCTGAATTCGAACCGTGGACCCCTGCAACAAGCTGAGAACGCACTGCACTGGCTAAGTCACCGCCCCGGTAGCTCTCTTTAGCGATGCACTAGGCAGTTGTATCAATGCAACATGAATACACACCATAGATCTCTATTAAACAGCCAATCGCTCAAAGTCTCGACAAATAGAAAATTGGCACGTATATAAAATATAATTCTGAAATGTAAAAAAGTAAACCGTTAAGTCCGAATTAAAACCAGTAATGTTTTAACCAACATTAAACCACATCGGCAAGCATGGATTAACAATGTAAATGCAGTGAGGGCACTGGCGGTAGAGGCTGAAAGAATAATGTAAAATGAAATGTCTCATCGCTCATGGAAATTGCATCTCACAACTCTGAGGAACCACAGACAGGCGGGAAGGCAGCCATGTGGCGAGCTGCCGCAACCAACAATTGGCCAAACTCTGCAACCCTCTATAAATTCAGATTTTTTTTTTTAGCCGATGAATGATTGTTTATCGATGTGGGAGGAAACCGGAGAAAACCCACACCTGCGAGGGGGAAACACTCTCGCCCATACAAATGGGTATGGCCGCTTGAAGCCCAATGCTTCACAAAAAGCCGTGGTGCAGCGTAGCCACCACCGAGAAGGGCGGGGGGGGGGGGGGTGACGTGCGTGCGTGATGTGCAAGGGCGGCTGCGTGCCTTGTTAAGCGTGATGTCGATGACATGCATGGTGCGGCGCCGTGTGGACGACGTGCGCGGCTTCTTCTTGGCCGAGTCGATGACGAGATCCTCGAGGGAGTTGAGGCTCCAGTCCAGAGCCGGAGCCTGCCCTCCCACAAGGGAAGGCCTCGTCTGCAACGGTGTGAAGTAGAGGGTTTCCTGGGAGTACCTGTTGCGCGGGCACACACACACGGCAACATGCGCACAACGCGCACAGCAAGAAGCAGGATGAAGGTTGGCCCTTTGTCGCTGAACGTAAGGGACAAGGCGCCATTCTAGTGGGGGATCGACACAAAGGCTGCACGTGTACTTAGCTCCATGAGAAACTGCCAATGGGGCAGATTTTAAGATCTATTAAAATATTTGTGGGCACTCGGATATGTATGATTTTGCATACCGTGAACTTCTCTTGCGCGCCGAGCGTGTGACCATGCTGTGACGTCTTCCGTCTTCACTTGGAGTTTGTTCCAGATTTTCTTTTGACAAAATCCTTGTATTTTCCACCCCTGTATTAAAATGATCTTCAATTTCACTCACGTTAGCTTGCAGGGTGGCACATTCTTCTTTTGTGAAAATTGTATTACTTGGAGCCATGCCTGTCTCAGTAACAATGTCTGAACGGGCCACGTCAGTTGAAACCTCATACTGCATCGTGGTGTCCAAGTTTTCCTCCATTGTAGCTGCCATAATGTCATCTTCCCTGAAGTTTTCTTTTCCTTTCTCCAAAGCGTTCTTCTCCAATTCCAGATGTCCCTTCTCTTGATCGAAAGAGGAGTTAACGTTTTCCCTTCTTATCTCTGACCTAGCAGTCTTGCGATCCTCGGTGGCTCCTGGGCTGGACATTTCCTGAATTTCCGTGTCGGTTTCTAGATCCTGCAGAGCTTTCAGAGCAGCATTCACCTTCCCTGGGGGAGCTGTGTCCTCCGTCTCGTGATGCTGCGTGGCAGCTTGCCGCGGTTTAGCTGGCACTGCGTCATACATTTCTTGCTCCAATACAACGCTATGACGTTCTACGCTGCTTGAAAGCGCCTCAGCCGCTCGTCTTTGCGTTAACGTATTGCTCGCCTGTTTTGCTTTGCAGACATCACGTTCCTGCTTTGCGGTAGCACTCTCTAAATCTAAAAGTCCCTTTACTTGTTTGGGCCCAGTTTTCTCTTGTTCTAACACTATACAATCAGTCTCTATTAAAGTCTTCAAATTGCTTTTATTTTCAATCATCGCCTTTTGATGCAAAAAATCAGTTCTCTCCAAGGCAAATTTTGCCATCGATTGATCAAGCAAACTCTTCTGTTTTTTTATCACAGCCATTTCTCTATCCAAGTTCGACTTGACTCGCTCGTTCTCGGCCTTCTCTTTATCAAGCGCAACTCTCTTTCGTGCCCAACTCATCTCTTCCTCATCCACGGTCGTCCTGAGTTCAGCCATGTCATGTATGAGCGTTTTCTGCTCAGTGCGCAAACAGGCATTCTCTTGCTCCACTTTATACATCGTTTCACTTTGAGCGGCCCGCTCTTGCTCGGACTTAACCTTGAGGTTGCCTCTGTGCTGATCTAAGGACTCTCTTTCTTGCTGTAACGCTACCCTCTGCTGTTCTAACAAAGCCTGCTCTTGCACCAAACGTTCGCTCTCTGTGGTCCATTTGGCTCTCTCCTGGTGCAGAGCTGCAAGCTCTCGTTTCAGGGTGACTCTCTCTTGTTCTAATGGAGCCACTAAAACGACTCTTTCTCGTTCCCAGATGGCTTTCATCTCCTCTAAAGTTGCTTTCATTTTATCCAGCGCGACTCTCTCTCGCTCAATAGAAACCTTCTCATCTTCCAATAAATCCCTATCTCGCTGCAACTTCACTTTCTCCTGATCTTGTAATAATGTATTATCTTGTACTTTGAATTTCATTTCTTCCAACACAGTCCTTTCTTCATTCAGAGTGGCTCGGAACACAATCTCCTCGAGCTGCAGTGCTGCTTTTAAGCTGTCCGCTTCCATACGCACGCTCATGCTTGCCTGCTCCAGCTCACACAGTCTGTTTCTCTCCTGCTCCAGCGATGCCGTCAGGGTGGTTCGTTTCTGCTCCAGCACGGCCACCTCATGTTGAAGGGAATCTCTGAATACGATTTGCTCATGGTCCAAGTTGGCTTGAACGAGGCGGACAGTCTCTGCTGGGGTGAATGCCTTTTGATTTCGTACAGTGGCGTCGGAATCCTCTTGATCAAGTGGGGAACAATCCTCTTCCATAAAGTCTTTCACTGCAGCAGATTCTTGCATTGGTGCGAGCACGGCCATTTTTGTATCAGCTTTCAACAACACATCTCTCACTGTCTCCAAGTCAGCCTGGTCTCTATCCAAGACATCGTTTGATTGATCCAGCGACACCAGACTTTCCCTCTGAGACAAAGACCGCTCTCCATCCCAAGTGGTCTCCTCTATATTTGTTTTGTCTTTTTCTTGGCATAGTGTGTCCCTTTCACGATGCCCCATACCGTGCTTCCCAACAGATATAAAATAATTATCTTGTGCAGGTTCTGTCCTCTGTTGTTGCAGAACTGCTTGTGCTACAATGCCATTGTCAGCCATGTCGATGTGAGTTCCTTCGCATGCAATACCTTTGTCCAGCCCTAGAATGGCTTTTAAAGTGGTCATCCCTTCCTCCAGGGCACAGATTACGCTGCCCTTTTCATTGCCAGGCATAACCTCTATTTTTTCCAAGGCAGCAACAACGCAGATAAGCGCAGACCTTGCTTGTTCTCGGACATCCACCTCTTGCTGCATCGCAATTCTCTCCCGCTGGAGTGAAGCAGTATCATTTTGATTTGCGGTTATACTTTGGATTATTTTTTCTCTTTCATTCTCCAACAGGACCCTTTCTTGCTCCACCCTTGCCTTCATACCTGATGTTTCTTCCTCTAGTGATGCTTTTAAATAAATAATTTCTTTGGTAAAGCTGGCCTTGCTTTGGTCTTCAATTGCCCTCTCTTTCACCAAGTTGTCCTGCTCTTGCTCTACGCAATTCCATTTTTGTTTGAGAATAATCATGTCCTGCTCTAGCTTGCGTTTTTCCTGGTCCAGTCTCGACTTTTGTTGCCTTAAATTAATATTAATTTCATCCTCCATTGCTTTCAAAGCAGCTTTTTCAAGATTTAATTTATTTTTCTCCTGATCTAATATGGCTCTTTGCTGCGCGATTGAGGCTTCTGTTGTCAACATGTGACCCATTAAAATGGACCTGTTCCCCGCTCCCATGGCTATGACAGCCATTTGCTCTTTCTCCAAAGCAGCCCTCTCTCGTTCGAGGATGTCCCTCTCTTTGCTTAAAGCCACCCTTTCCTGTTGTAATAAAGTCCTTCCTTGCTCCAAAGTGTCCCTGTGGCCATTGTTTTTAAATTCAAAGTTCTCCTGCACGCCACGCGCGATACCCATCTCTCTGCGGGACGATGTGCTGCTCCCTTCCAACGAATTTTGTTTCAAGGCGCTGGACCGTGCCCGAGTGGCCTCCACACATTTGTCTTGAGAGACTCCGGTTTGCTTACTTTCATGACCATCCAATTCTTCCCTGAATGTGACATTGTATTGATCAACCATGGAACCTTCCAGCTCCATTGTGGATTCATTTGGCATGAGATATTTCCTGTCTTTCACTATGAGTGTGCTGCTATCATTGTCCGATACATTATTAAAGTCAGCAGATTGTTCCTCCCGTGAAGATGTGGGAGTGTCATGGCCGTGCGTTGTATTTGTGTGTGCCTTGGCTAAAGGTGGCAGCCCAACGTCAGCTCTCTCCCGTGCCTTCTGACACATGTGCCATTCTTCCATCTGGAACACACACACAGGCACACACCAATCGCACATAAACTTCACAATAAAAGCTGTCAATTAACATAAAGTAATGGCAAAATAACAACATCTGTGGTAGGCTAGGTGCACTGAGTCCACATGGAGGTGAAGACTTGATAATAGATTGCGAGAAATAGGCATTGTGAATTACCAGGTAGCAGTGACTTATAAATACGTCAATTTTAATCCACACTTCACTTTAATTCGTCCGAGTCTCAATGATCTACTCATTGTGATCTTCGCTTCTTCATGTCTGCTAACGGGTGGCCACTTCCAACTACTAGGTGGCATCAGCCACAACCCATCCCCACAACGGCTACTCTGCATACTGCTGGTACCAAGCTCAATTTTGAGTGAGCACAATGAATGCGTAAGCCACCTGTAGGACCTCCGACATGACCTCCCCGGGCGGCAGGTTACGCTGCTCCTTCAGAGAGGCTTCCTTCTCTGCCAGCGCTCCCAGCTTGCCCTGCAGGATCCGCACAGTCTCCTCCAGCGAGGCCTGTGCACATCGTGTGAGCGGTGACGTGGCCCAGCGGTAGCAAATTCGCTGCTTGCTGCAGGAGTTTGCGGTTCACATCGGTCAGGTCATCCTAGTTATCACTGCGGGTGTGTTGCCCGTACAAACACTACGCGCTGTCCACTTCACAGTAGACGTTAAAGATCCCTTGTCATCATTCTAAACGAGTAGGCCATTATGTGCCGGTGTCATGGTACAAATTTTCCAAAGTTGAAATTAACCAATTGGGATAACACATAGCAACATCACCCTCTACTGTAAAAACGTTGCAGGACCTTCCTGAAAAAAAGTCTTCAGATTCAGGGAGGCTTTCCAGGGTAAACAATTATAAGTCATAAATAATACTTGGATTCTGGACTATGACTAGGAGTAAAACTTAAAACTAGGATGAAGAATATTTGAGATCACCCACGTTAAATCCTAAACAATAATTAAGATCTTGATTTGAAGCTTTCGTGACTGCAGGAATCCATACTCTTTGGTTCTTTCGGTAAAGTCACGTAGGTATAAATAAAATAAATCACAGCATTTAGGGTGCACAACAAGTGTCCGTCATCAGGTGGGAAAGCATGGTTTGCTGCCGAGGCAGACTGTTTAAAAACCTTTTTTTTTATACCTACGTGACTTTACCGAAAGAACGAAAGAGTAATAATTAAGATTCATAATACTGGCTGCGAAAACCTGTGTGTAACGTAAACCTAGGCTTGCACTTGGCCATCAGCATGTTCTTGACATCACATGTACGACGCTTCAATTCTAAGAGAGTGTCAATTACATTTCTAGTCGATTAATCAACTTAATAGTCCCAGCTCCAAACACAATAATCACCATGAACCAACGGGGCCATTACTCAAGTGGGGCTAAGAGGGAGTGGATAATGCTGATGGCTGCCTTACACCAGGCTTCAGACAAAAGCAAGCCTAGCCTTACCTTGGCCAGCCATCAGCATGTTCCAGAAATCATGAGCAAGTACCACAGCGTTTTCACAGCAGTTCTGCCTTATATGTGTGTTGAATCTGGGCAGAATTGAGGGGAATTTGTTTGCATCACCATGCACATTTTTTACTTTATTTCACAAGGTAAGGCCCACTAAGCTGTATAGCACTTATTCAAAACCGTCCTGGCCACAAATGATAGCTCAACAAATTGGCTTATAATATCGAAATGTATAGCAGCTACATAATTTAAATGCGTCTTTTTAAAGGAAAAAAACCAAAGGACCTGGAGACAAATCCACACGACCACGGAGAGAGACCACGCAAATTTCAAATATACAGGCGTCAGGGTTGGGATCGAACCCACGACCCCTCTATACCAAGCAAGGTAGTTAACATCTCGCCACTGTGGTACATATCACAGTGCATGTACCTTGCTGTTGAGCGCCTCTCCCAGGGCCTCTTCGAGCCGATGGATGCGCACCTCTGCTTCCGCGTGCCTCTGCTCCGCACTGCGGCTCGATTCCTCAAACAGCGAGCGACATTCCGCCAGGTGTGTGCAGCTCTCGCGCACCTGCACACTCGTGCAGCAGATGTGCACGCGGCTCAGCAACCCCGCCGGCTTCCAGCATTCAACCACCAATCAGCGGTGACACCACCGCCGGATGGCAAGTTACCATTCTTGGATGTTTTAATCGAAAAGAGACCAGATGGCTCAATGGGACACTGTCCACAGGAAAGCCACCCATACGGATGCCTACCTAAAACCGGACTCCCACCACCATCCATCCCAGAAGAATTCCCTCATAAAAACTCTACACCATAGAGCTCGTTGTATGTCCGACCAACATCACCTCGCCAGTGAACTGGAACACGTACACCAAGCTCTCAAGATGAATGGATATGAAGACTACATAATCCGTAAAGCTATCACCCCAGCCATTGGGAAAGAACCATCTAAGGACCCAATCAAAACCATCACCTTGCCATACATAGCAGGAGTCACTAAAGAGATTTCCAAAATCATGAGCAAACACAAGATCCAGGTTCGATTTAACACAGTACATAAAATTCGTGATCTGATCCCATATGTGAAGGATGTGATCCCTGACATGCAATACCCCGGCATCGACAAAATAAGCTGTGTCTGCGGCAGTAGTTACATTTGGGAAACTAAGCGACATGTCTCGGACCGTGTTCATGAACATAAGGCAGATCTGAAACATGGTAGGACCAATACCTCGGCCGTGGCTGATCATTGTTTTAATGCGGTGGGCTCACACGAAATTGATTTCTTGAAGACGAAGGTACTTTTCAAGCCCACTGACTATCAACAAAGATTCGTTCATGAAGCCATCCATATATAGAGACACAGACACAATTTCAACTGAGAAGATGGGTACAAACTGAGCAATCATTGGAAGGACGTTATCAACCAGTTTAAGTTATTCCCATCCTACCACCTTCCGATGTTAGTTGTCACTTCGCGCGCCGACCCCTTGGTTGCGGCTCGGCGATCTGCCATTAACATGCTAATCTCTCTTTAACATGATCATTTCCATCTGGCAGCCCATAGATTGGTGGTAAACGATCCACCGCCAGGCGCGCTGCCGAACACTTACAGTATCAATGGCTGCTGACATTTGGGCTACGCCCATTTCAAACCCTTATAAACAGTTTCCCTTGGAAGCTAACCCCCCTTTTCCTGAAAACGACCGCTTGCGTTGCGATCGAAACGTCATAATTTTCTGTTATTTGTTATTATTTTCTTTGAATCTATCCACGTGACTTTACCGAAAGACCCAAGAATATGAATTCCTGCAGTCACGAAAGCTTTAAGTCAATAATAATCCTCACAACCAAAATTTTGCTATTAAATACTTTTCATTTGACACTACATCAAACATCACCAGAACAAAATCCAGGAAGTCAGAATTGTTCTCAAACTTACCGGTGAGCTGAAACAATAATTGGCGCGTTGCACGCTTATACAAGGAATAATTGGTTTGGCCGTATTGGGTGCAGTAGGGTTGCAAGGGCACAGATTGGGTTGGATCAGCGGTTAAGAAGCTCTCCAGCGACATTTGTTTTTTACTCATTTTGGCTAGGGTTAGCTTGTGGGCTTACCAAAACTGTGACTGAGACAAGTGCGCAGTTCGGGAAAGAAGCGCGGACGGAAGTAGTAAATAAAATAATGGGGGGGGCCACGCGCGGACTCACCGCTCACCTCCTGCTATGCGGCCCAATTTCTAACAGTCCACGGACCGGTACCGGTCCGGGGCCCAGGGATTGGGTACCCCTGGGTTAGATCATTACCTGGCCTAATCCAGGCCCAGTAATGAATACTGGCTGTGTTAACCACTGCGTTAAATTATAGTTCATGTCGCCTGAACTCTGGCAATGTTTCCTAGGAAGAGGCCAACTTGGACTGGTCCCAACAAGTTACAATACAACAGACGCAGCGACACAGTCCCATGCAAGCAACTTTCTCCTTGCATCACACATCCCTAACAAGGTCTCAATGTGCGTGTGCCTACATTTTGGTTTCTTTCACGGCCGGAATGAACACTCACCTTGGAAGACAGCTCACCGTTCTCCTCGGCAAGTTGAGTCAGTCTTTTTTCCATCAACTCATTCTCCTTCTTCAACTCCTGGCATTGTTTCACAGTCACAGACAACCTGCGTTCATTCAGATGGGCAGAAAGGCAGTTCATGAATTGGACTGCTTTTCACGTGCACATGCAATACGTAATATAAGTATCTAATATATTGTGCGTGGCGAGTTGTGGCAGCGTGTGGGATAGAAAGGTGTGCTGGAGATGTACGAGCTAAAGGGTGATGATGGATGTCTCGGTTGATGTAAAATAACTAACTTTAGTATGACTTTAAATTCAGATGCAGCCATAGATCAAATTAGGTATTCAGCGCAGCCCTAGTTTTTTGGCAAGACTGTAAATGGAATGTTTTAGGCAAAGCCTTTTCTAATAAATAAGACATTCTACATACCAGCACATTTATTGTGCACAAGATAAAATGCATCCATGTGGGGAATATCAGCAAAGGAACATGGAGTATGAAGTTAAAATAGGAAAAATGGTGTCTCCTGCTTAATGAAAGGAGCAGTGCTTATCTCTAAGAAAAGCCATCTCGGGTGTGGACCAATCAATTTCAAGGACAGTGCATATCATTATCAGAGTTGTCTCTTTTTGTATGCATTTTGACTGCTTGTGTTGTGGTTATTGCAAACATGATCCCTTGTATAAAGGTGTCAGTTTTGGTGCCAGATAAAAGGGTAAAAACCAATTACTACTACTACTGCTTATCTCTTGTTTATATCCAGGAACCAGCGCTGGAAAGTGTGTGGACAGTGAGGTGGCCCAGTGGTAGTGGTAGGATCGCCACTTGACAGAGGTTTGTGGTTCGAATCCGGTAGGCTGCCCTGATTACTAATGCCGTACTAATCATGTAACACGCGCCATCTCCTTCATATTCAAAATGAGCAGACCGTTTTGCGCCGATGTCATGGTGCAAATTTGTCAAGTTAAAATATTACCTGCAAATTACTCTTTTGGGTTTAAACAGAACATTGCTCCCTACTGCCAAAACACAGAACATCGCTCCCTACTGGGAAAACCATATCCGCTGTGATAGCCCTCCGCAAAAGGAATTGCGCGAATACTAAATGTACTAAATTATTATCATCATTAATAATTATCAGTGCTCACAGTATTTAACCTAATCAGAATCTGAATATTTAATTATCCTGGAGAAATCCGATGAGCTATGAAGCTCTTTTTCACAGATGTCCAGTAGGGGCTTCAGGATATTTTTGAAGGACAATATACGGTTAAGGAAAAAAACAAGGTTGTTCCAAAAAAATTATTGTCAGCCTCCCCCACTCACTGCGCCAGGCAATAACTGGTCGAGCGCATACGTAGTGAGTCCAACTGAGTCGCAGACGTCATCTTGGGAGTAACACTATTTATTCACATACAATACGTAACGTAACACAACCTACGCTCAGGTCTCGAATGCCCATCTAACCACGCTACGGCAGAACTAGACACGGTTCGCTATCCCGGTCCAGACCACAAGCTGGGTCCTGGACCGCGTGGCTAGAGGCTTCTTCTCCCCGACATGGATCTTCGAACACCAACACTTTAAGAACTCCGAGCTCCTCACGGAGCTCTCATTATATGCCCCTGGGCTGGGGCTGGCTCCGACCTTAGCCCCACCCACCTTCCAGGCTTCTCGAGCTCCCTCTCGAATGTTCCCGAGAGCTCTTCGGTACTAAGTGACCGCCCCTCGGCCCCCGTCCACCGGTGGCCCCCCTCCAGTATCGTCCGGTCACGTGACAACAGGTCAGCCAGACTATCATGACCCAGGGTAACCCTGGCTGGCTGACGCTCACTCTCGCTCCCTCACTGGGAGCCGGCACCGCACACTGCTCGCGGTGCCTCCGCGCTAACCAGCGCTCGCCCAACCATCGCTGGTGCTGGTACTGCAGACCGCAATCCGGGCTGCCAGCAATGACCACATTACCGGCCGTGACTTCGCAAGTCCCGGCACCACACAGTGACAAGTAGTCACTACACATAGAAGACGCATTGCTGGGGAAGCACGCAGGCGATCCGAGCGGGTGGACAGGGATTAGATGGCAGCAGCACGGCCCGCTCCGATTGGCTACCTCTGTGTTTTCTCGTGTAGCTCGGCCAGCTCGCTGGGGAGGGGCGAGGGAGGGCGCGTCTGCGTGAGCTGCACCAGACGCTCCACTCGTCCGCGGAGCTCTGCCACCTCTTGCTCTGAAGCACAACACACACCACACGTTCATGGACACAGCGTCATTTGCTGGCACGTCATTATTATTATTGCATTTGTATTATGCAGGAAAGCCTCGTTGAGTCTCAAGTCTTTTTTTGTTTCAAAAGGGGCCTGCCACATTTTCACAGTAGGGCAATGCAGCTCTGTGTAATCCCAATTGAGTAAATTTCAGATAATTTTTCACCATTGGGATATATGGCCAATACCAGTCCAACACCAGTGGAGACTAGGCTCTAAGAAAAGCCATCTCGGGTGTGGACCAATCAAATTCAAGGACTGCATATTATTATCAGAGTTGTCTCTTTTGTTTGCATTTCGACTGCTTGTGTTGTGGTTATTGCAAACATGATGCCTTGAATAAAGGTGTCAGTTTTGTGCCAGTTAAAAGGGTAAAACCTATTACTACAGTTAGATAATATTTGTCATTTTTGCTCTTCATGAATAAAATATGCATTAATGGAAACAAGAATGCATTCCTGTATGCATTAACTAATTTATACAAGAATTACAAATATCCACGAAAACATTATTGAAATTTCCAAATTATACATTTAACAAATTACAAATTCAACTATAAACACCCAGAGGCAGATGTGATCATGTTTTATTACCAAGTCAAAATAAAATGTAGTATTCATTATTAATTATTCCCATCGTATACATTATTTATTATATGATTGTTTGGACACCTTTGCATTCAAGAACACCATGCTGCAATGACATGGCACAGCGGGTAGTACATTAACCGCGGTTGGAATCCAGTCAGCCACCCTGGTTATTACTGTGGGTGTATTAGCTATAAAATGTGCCATCTGCTTCACAGTTGGCGTTAAATGTAATTCTCAATGAGACGGCCATTGTGTGCCGGCGTAATGATCCGAATTCTCCAAATGCGTCAAAATTATCTGCTATTTACCCCATTGTGATTAAAAACAGCAACATCGCCTCTACTGTTAAACTGCTGCAGCCTATGTCTGTGAAACACAGCGCCCTTCGTAAAAGCCCTGGGCTAAAAAGTCCGAATACAAAATGTGCGATATTATTCATTATTATTAAGAACGAGACAGAAATGTTTGGCGCAAGCAGGAGGCCTCACCGCTTTGCTTGAGAAGCTGGGACTTGCTGGAGAGTTCGCCTTCCAGCTTCTCCTGCTGCTCCCACTCCTGACGAAGCTGCTGCTTCAGCCTGCGCACCTCCACAGCCGGCTGGTCAAAGAAACTCAGCATGGGAGATGAGGGGGAGCCCGGAGAGCTGAGCAAGCTGGAGGAAGACACGAGCAAACACGATTGCTTACGCCACGTGAAGAAAAATGCACATTTTCAATTTGCTGGCACTCATTTTTATTATTTTATTAAGCATTTTACCCTCAAAAGCATCACGGAGTCTCAACACTCTTTTTCAGGAGGGTCCTTCAAAGTTTTAATAACAGAGGGCAATGTTGCAACGTTGAATCCCAATTGAGTAACTTGCAGGTAATTTTTCAGAAGTGTAATGTTCGTCCAATTCCAAATATATTGCATGCTTTTTTAGCTGTGGGAGCAAACCGGAGAATCCGGAAGAAACCCTTGCAAAACTAAAAGAGAACATACAAACTCCACACAGAGAGGCGCTCAAGTCAGGAATCAAACATAGGCTTCTTGCTGCGAAACAGATGCGCGACCACTGCGCCACCCTGCCACCCGTGTGCTCAAACATTCTGTGCGTGCCAACGTGCATCCCCCGTGTGTGTACGTGTCTGTATTCGGTAGCACCCCACCCCAAATGTTTTCCACTCCCCTTCTTACAAGCATATACAGTGAGGGAAAAAAGTATTTGATCCCCTGCTGATTTTGTATGTTTGCCCACCGACAAAGAAATGATCAGTCTATAATTTTAATGGTAGGTTTATTTGAACAGTGAGAGACAGAATAACAACAAGAAAATCCAGAAAAACGCATGTCAAAAATATTATAAATTGATTTGCATTTTAATGAGGGAAATAAGTATTTGACCCCTCTGCAAAACATGACTTGGTAATTGGTGGCAAAACCCTTGTTGGCAATCACAGAGGTTAGACGTTTCTTGTAGTTGGCCACCAGCTTTGCACACATCTTAGGAGGGATTTTGTCCCACTCCTCTTTGCAGATCTTCTCCAAGTCATTAAGGTTTCGAGGCTGACGTTCGTTAGGCAACTCGAACCTTCAGCTCCCTCCACAGATTTTCTATGGGATTAAGGTCTGGAGACTGGCTAGGCCACTCCAGGACCTTATTGTGCTTCTTCTTGAGCCACTCCTTTGTTGCCTTGGCCGTGTGTTTTGGGTCACTGTCATGCTGGAATACCCATCCACGACGCATTTTCAATGCCCTGGCTGAGGGAAGAAGGTTCTCACCCAAGATTTGATGGTACATGGCCCTGTTCATCGTCCCTTTGATGCGGTGAAGTTGTCCTGTCTCCTTAGCAGAAAAACACCCCCAAAGCATAATGTTTCCACCTCCATGTTTGACGGTGGGGATGGTGTTCTTGGGGTTAAAGGCAGCATTCCTCTTCCTCCATACACGGCGAGTTGAGTTGATGCAAAAGAGCTCCATTTTGGTCTCATCTGACAACACTTTCACCCAGTTGTCCTCTGATTCATTCAGATGTTCATTGGCAAACTTAAGACGGGCATGTATATGTGCTTTCTTGAGCAGGGGGACCTTGCGGGCGCTGCATGATTTCAGTCCTCTACGGTGTAGTGTGTTACCAATTATTTTCTTGGTGACTATAGTCCCAGCTGCCTTGAGATAATTGACAAGATCCTCCCGTGTAGTTCTGGGCTGATTCCTCACTGTTCTCATGATCATTGCAACTCCACGAGGTGAGATCTTGCATGGAGCCCCAGGCCTAGGGAGATTGACAGTTCTTTTGTTTCTTCCATTTGTGAATAATCGCACCAACTGTTGTCACCTTCTCATCAAGCTGCTTGGCAATGGTCTTGTAGCCCATTCCAGCCTTGTGTAGGTCTACAATCTTGTCTCTGACATCCTTGGAGAGCTCTTTGGTCTTGGCCATGGTGGAGAGTTTGGAATCTGATTGATTGCTTCTGTGGACAGGTGTCTTTTATACAGGTGTAGTGTTGACATGGGAGGCAGAGACTTCTTTGTAGGCAACACTGTTTATTTACTCTAAGGTCAGAGAACGTCCCTAACACAGAGAGGTACCGGCCTCTCCCACCCGATAGCCTAGAGGATACGTCCTCATACTTAGTGGGCCCTTACACTATACTCTGCTTAACGGGTACCGCCACTGGGCCGTTGGGACCTGGCACTGACAAGGGCCGGAGGTCGAAAGTCCCAGGGCACTATCTAGATGTCTTGAGTCTTGAGGTGAGTGCAGACTGACTCATGCTGGAAGAGCTGCCTTTTATATCCTTCCTCTCTCAACCGTCCTGTCTCGAGAGGGTCTGGGTCCAACCGTTGACCCCCCCAGCCCCCTCCCTCAGTGGGCTCTGGGCCCCTCACCCCTGGTCAACGGTTATTTTAGTCGTGACTCATACAATACTGCTATGCAGGTAAGTATACATGTTGCGCATAACAATGCGGCTACACAGGTAACAAGCTGAGATTAGGAGCACTCCCTTTAAGAGTGTGCTCCTAATCTCAGCTCGTTACATGTATAAAAGACACCTGGGAGCCAGAAATCTTTCTGATTGAGAGGGGGTCAAATACTTATTTCCCTCATTAGAATGCAAATCAATTTATAACATTTTTGACATGCGTTTTTTTGGATTTTGTTGTTGTTATTCTGTCTCTCACTGTTCAAATAAACCTACCATTAAAATTATAGACTGATCATTTCTTTGTCAGTGGGCAAACATACAAAATCAGCAGGGAATCAAATACTTTTTTCCCACACTGTATATATACAGCATCCAGCACAAGCAGTCGTAGAAATGCGTGGTCACACAAGCGTATTATAATGCGCACGCGTGTGCGCGTATGGCTCGCATGCACAAACTTGTTCATGCTGGAGGAAGCGATTCTTTGGAGGTCCCGGAAGCGAACCCCTGCAGTGTGGCCCAGGGGCAGCGACGAGAGAGGAGACGAGAAGCGTCCGCTGGTCTCCTCGGTGGCAATGGAGAACACGCCGGGAGACCGCACTGGGGGGCACAAACGCCGAGTCAACACAAGTGAGCCATGGCTCACGGCGAAAACCACCACCACTGCAGGTCACAACCCTTCTCTTTCGGCTTCTTCCCTCACCCTGCTCCACTTTGGAATTCCCTCCCATCGGTTCTTTTCCGAAGCTCTAATAATAATGTTGCGCTATTCAAGAAACATGTAAAATATTAAAGCTTCAGGAGCGCTGTTTGTTGCTAGCTACTTTGCGTTTTGGGCCTTTGCTCAGTGACTGCGTAAAAAAAATGCAAACTGTACAACAGCAGAGACAACGTCCGGTAGCCAGCATGGAGTTCACATTTCAATTTTATTTAATTTAACCAGGAGAGAAGTGCAGTGTCGTCAAGTGTTATGGTTAAGCACCAGCGCAATCCTTAAAAAAAGGCATTTGTGCATTTAGAGGGAACTCTGTCCACACAGTAGGCATCTGATACCATGATCGTTTGCATATCTACCAATTCGAGTTTTTGAGAACACGATGGGAAAAAGTTTAACACAAATAACCAACTGTTAGGTACCTGATTGGCCTCTATACTTGTGTGCTGTGAAGGGCCATTGCCCAAAGCATCGCCTATGTTTATGCTTTTCATTTTAGGGCAGCGTTATTGATGAATGTGTTGAGATTTTTGCTTTATACAAACTCAACGGGAGGCCTTATTAAAACTGTCTATAACTAGAACTTTATGAAATGCCCAAATATTGCCAATTAATGTATCAACCTGATTAAAAGAATTGACGATACTTCTTTAATACTCATGAAACCTTTATGCATGTGTTAAAAAAAACTGGTCAAAGCCTGACAGCAAGGGTTGAATGCATGATATTTAATTTTCGTGTGCGCCATCACCTTCACTATAATCACAATCATCATCACCACAACTTCAACCATTTTCATTTTTATCACTGTTATCCCTACCACCACCATGAGCATCCGCCCGCCCCCCCCCCCCCCCCCCCCCGTTCACCAGTGAACATCAGCATTGCCATCACCAGGAACATCGTAATCACCATAATTAGTCTCCACCATCAGCATGATAATCCACAAGAGGTTTCTTGGGTTAGATCGTGTAAATATAAATGTGTCGTTAAACACGTCACCACCTGACAGTAAATTAGTAAGGTTTGTCACGTAAACAAAACATGCCAATTCGTTACTAGTTCAGCACACCGGTGTGTTGGAGAGTAAACCCATGAGTAGTAACTAATTGGCACGTTTTGTTGACATGATAAACCTTACTAATTGGCTGCATCGGGTGGTGGTGGGTTTAACGAGACATTCATATTCACGTGACTTTACCAAAAAAATATCTTATGGATAATATTGGTGGCAAAAGCCTGCGTGTTAAAACCATCATGATAATCACCAACATTACCACCATTAACATGGTCACCTATGGCGACAGCCGCCTTTCATAGACCGAGCTTCAGAATTGTGAACATGCGTTCACTTTGGATGCGTAAGCCACTCGGTGGTATTGTGTGAGCGAGACTACCCTGCTTACCCACACAGCCCACGTTGAGCAGCAGCTCAAGGTTGACCTGTAGTTGAGGACTCTCCTCATTGTCCATCACAAACTTTAGAATTTCATGGAGCTGGATCTGGGGGATGGGCGCACACACACAGTCATGCACCAGCATGCATAAAAGCTCACACGTACTTACATTCATGTACAAACATGAGCATCTTGAAAATTTCCAGCAGATACACGTAAAAAGAATGGGCTCTTTTTACACGCTTTTATTTAACTCACTCTGTCTGTTGTTGTTGTCGTATCCTCAAATCTTGTAACTCAATTTTAATCCACTTCCCAATGTGGTATCGACTGCAAACTTGGTATATTTATGTCATACTGATGACAATACCATATTCTATCATACAAAAATAATTTTGACTCTTTTTACAAGCTTTCTATGAACTCACTGTCTGTTGTTGTTGTCGTAGCCTCAAATCTTGTAACTCTATTTTAACCTACGTCCCAATGTGGTATCGACTGCAAACTTGGTATACATATGTCATACTGATGACAATACTATAGTCTATAAAAAAAGTATTTTTAAACATGCATTTTTATATGTTATGTTTCAGCTTGGGTCTAATTGTCCACGCACAAATGACATTGGCTGTAAATCACCACGGTCCCTTACGTTATGGCAAGCTTTGCGACCACTTCCTGGAGTCGTGGAGTCCTGCCATTATGAGTAGGGTACATTTCATTAAAGCGTATTTTAAAATATTACTTATTTTGGTGGTGTCGCACCCCGCATAGACAAAACAGCAAATTCTCCTGAATCCGGACTAAGCAAGGAGAGGGCCTTTCCAGTTAGGTGGAATATCTGGCATACTGGGTGATGCGATATCAGCCGTGAGCCACAGAATCCACGAAAGGCAGGCTGAGGTAGTGCCCCATGGAATTTGTACCTGCGTGTCTGGGTCCAGGAACTTCATGCGCGATTGAATCTCCGTGCTCACCACAGCGCAGCACAGGAATGCCACCGTCAGCTGAAACATGACAGCAGATTTCTCAGCTAAAAGAATGCTTTCAGGAGGGCCAGCGTATATTAAATCGCAGCTAAAGTAAAACAAAGGGCAATAAAAATGTAACCAAAACATCCGACCAAAGACAGTGTTGATGAGGTAACTAGCTTAATTCTAGACTTGAAGTTTTCGTGACTGCAAGGAGCCATACTCTTGGTTCTTTCGGTAAAATCACGTAGGTAAAAAATAAAAAAATACAAATCAAATCACGACGTTTCGGGCACAACACAAGTGCCCGTCATAAGGTGGAAAAAACCCCAGCAATAAAAAATTGCTGAAATGGGCAAAAGGAGGCCGCTTGTGACGCGAGGCTATATATACGCAAAAGGGCGGGAGGAGCCAGGGAGGAGAGATAGAGGGGGTGCGGGTGCGGGGTAGGGGGGGTGGCGGAGTGCAAGCTCCACACAATGAGAAGTGCGACGTCCAACCCGAGCCCAAGCTCGACACAATGCCGGGGCTGGGAAGTGCAAGCTCCAACAGGAAGGCCACCCACACAGACTCCTATCTGAAGCCTGATTCCCACCACCATTCGGCAAAGAAGAATTCCCTCATCAAAATACTACACCATAGGGCCCACTGCATCTCTGACAAACACCATCTGGCCAATGAATTAGAACATGTACAGCTACCATGGAGAAACAACCCCCTGAGAATTTCTATTTAAAGCTTTCGTGACTGCAAGGATTCATCTTCTTGGTTCTTTCGGTAAAGTCACGTAGAAGGGAAAAATTAAAATAATAAAAATAAAACAATAAAATTCTCACGACGTTTGGGCCACAACACAAGTAGCCTTCCTCAGGTGAAGAAACATAACTATCGGAAAGACAGCGCTCCAATGAACACTGCTAAGCTTGGCAGCATATTTTAAGCTGGGTGGGAGGAGCAGAGCGCCTTGACAAAGGAGTTTACATATCAACAGAAGAATTTAGCATTGAAGTAGCTGTGTTAATGTGATAGATTAGCAGGATGTTAAAGTAAGGAATTAGCATGTAACTGGGAGATTAGCATGATGTTAGTGTGAGGGATTAGCATGTAACTGGTCACGGAAGTGGCCCTGTTAAAGTCAGAGTTTACATATCAACAGAGGCATTTAGTATATTGACGCTATATAACTGCAACAACCCAACTATCATACAATAAACCAATGTGAAAGAATTAAATATAAACTACATCAATATAATGAATGTACTCAATATATTCTCCAATAAGCTGAGCTATTAACATAAAGTAACTGGGTATACACTACACTATATAATTAATACCATATAGTAAACTGATAAAAAAAACTAAAATATAAACATCAATTTTATCAGAAAACTCAATATACTCTCCAATCAGCTGAGCTACTAACAATAAGTCATTAAACATTACAATTCTATGTCGAAAAAAGTGGCGGTTTCTTTTTTCGTCAACGTTAGCACCACGGAAAGCGACGAGCTTTGTTCAGACGGACGAGTCCATCTATGCTTGGAACGGAGGAGGGGGGAGAGAGAAACAGCCACGATGCGCTGCTCTGTCCTGTGTTGCGTTACAACTATGCTATAAACTAGACTACTATACATTACAATATTATACCTTCCAATCTAAACTACATTGTGTAATATCTTATACACAGCCCAATGTAAGCTCTAACATTATGCATTATATTGATATGCCTCCAACCAAACTTTTTCTACATTACACGACTATACACTGTAATATACACTGCCATAGACAAACCCCACCATTGAATTAAACAATGCGTTACTATACACTACCCTATACTTTAGACGATAAAAATATTAGACTTGTAATATTACACTGTATTATTCTACCAACCCTACTGTATACCACACTGCTGTATAGTCACTATACAATTACGAGACTTTATATTGTCTTGTGAATTATATTAAACATTACACTGTTTTACTATTTATTATACAATATGCTATAAACCATACCATTGACCGTCGTGTGAAAGGTACTAAGAGGCAAGATGGATTCTGGCTTAGTAATCATTGTAAAGACGTGATAAACCATTTCGGTTCTTGATTGATTGTATTTTATGGTGACTTTCAGACCGCAGTCCATTTGCTGGCACTGCCTCTTAGTACCTTTCACACGACGGTCAATGGTATGGTTTATAGCATATTGTATAATAATAAATAGTATAACAGTGTAATGTTCAACATAATTCACAAGGCAATATATAGTCTCGTAATTGTATAGTGACTATACAGCAGTGTGGTATACAGTAGGGTTGGTAGAATAATAGTGTAATATTACAAGTCTAATATTTTTATCGTCTAAAGTATAGGGTAGTGTATAGTAACGCATTGTATAATTCAATGGTGGGGTTCGTCTATGGCAGTGTATATTACGGTGTATAGTCGTGTAATGTATAAAAAAGTTTAGTTGGAGGCATATCAATATAATGCATAATGTTAGAGCTTACATTGGGCTGTGTATACGATATTATACAATGTAGTTTAGATTGGAAGGTATAATATTGTAATGTATAGTAGTCTAGTTTATAGCATAGTTGTAATGCAACACAGGACAGAGCAGCGCATTGTGGCTGTTTCTCTCTCTCTCCCCCCTCCTCCGTTCCGAGCATAGATGGACTCGTCCGTCTGAACAAAGCTCGTCGCTTTCTGTGGTGCTAACGTTGAGGAAAAAAGAAAAAAAGAAACCGCCACTTTTTTCGACATAGAATTGTAATGTATAATGACTTATTGTTAGTAGCTCAGCTGATTGGAGAGTATATTGAGTTAATTGATAATATTGATGTAGTTTATATTTTAGTTTTTTATCAGTTTACTATATGGTATTCATTATATACTGTAGTGTATACCCAATTACTTTATGTTAATAGCTCAGCTTATTGGAGAATATATTGAGTACATTGATTATATTGATGTAGTTTATATTTAGTTCTTTCACATCGGTTTATTGTATGATAGTTGGGTTGTTGCAGTTATTTAGCGTCAATATACTAAATCCCTCTGTTGATATGTAAACTCTGACTTTAACATAGCTACTTCCGTGACCAGTTACATGCTAATCCCTCACACTAACATCATGCTAATCTCCCAGTTACATGCTAATTTCTGACTTTAACATCCTGCTAATCTATCACATTAACACAGCTACTTCAATGCTAAATTCTTCTGTTGATATGTAAACTCCTTTGTCAAGGCGCTCTGCTCCTCCCACCCAGCTTAAAATATGCTGCCAAGCTTAGCAGTGTTCATTGGAGCGCTGTCTTTCCGACAGTTCTGTTTCTTCACCTGAGGAAGGCTACTTGTGTTGTGGCCGAAACATCGTGAGAATTTTATTTTATTATGTTTCATTTTTATTATTTTATTATTTCCCTTCTACGCGACTTTACCGAAAGAACCAAGAAGATGAACCCCCTGAGACTCCGATCAAAACCATCACGTTACCATACATAGCAGGCGTTACCAAAAAGATTTCCAAAATTCTAAACAAACACAAAATCCAGGTCCAATTCAGTACATTACACAAAATACGTGCTCTGATCCCATCTGTAAAGGATGTCATTCCTGACTTACAGTACCCTGGTGTCTATAAACCGAGTTGCATTTGTGGCGATTGTTATATTGGGGAAACGAAACGACATGTATTTGACCGCATTCGCGAGCACAAGTCAGATTTGAAACACGGTAGGACAAATTATTCTGCCGTGGCTGATCATTGTTATAACTCTGTGGGCTCTCATGATATTTTTTTTCCCGAGACCAAGGTGCTCTGCAAACCTTCAGGCTACTATCAAAGGTTTGCTCATGAAGCCATCCAGATATATAAACATAGACATAACTTCAACCAAGAATATGGGTATAAATTGAGCAATCATTGGAAGGATGTTATTAACCAGGTAAAGCCTTAACTGCTTTATAGTTTGCCTTCATATCAGCATCGCAAGTTTCTTCAGCCTCCTACCCTCCAGTCCCTCTCACTTCCCAGACCCGCCATTTTGTCGTACTCGAGCTCGGGTTGGAGGTGTTGTGCTCGAGCTCGGGTTGGAGCTTGCAATTCCCAGCCCCGGCATTGTGTCGAGCTTGAGCTCGGGTTGGACGTCGCACTTCTCATTGTGTGGAGCTTGCACTCCGCCACCCCCCCTACCCCACACCCGCACCCCCTCTATCACTCCTCCCTGGCTCCTCTCCCCCTCTTACTTATATATATAGCCTTGTGTCACAAGCAGTCTCCTTTTGCTCATTTCAGCTATTTGTATATTGCTGGGGTTGTTTCCACCTGATGACGGGCACTTGTGTTGCACCCGAAACATCGTGATTTGATTTTTATTTATTTATTTTATACCTACGTGACTTTACCGAAAGAACCAGCTTATACCTGCTCAAGGTAAGAATACTGCATTTCCCAACACTGTAGAATTTATGATGCGTAGATTCCACGTGGAGGTGCAAGAAGCCAGACAAGTGGGAAGGCAACCAGAACAATTGCTGGAGCTCTGTAGTCCTATACAGTAGTCCCTCAGTTAAAAGTGGCATCGGTTAACAGTTTCGGTTAACGTTTCGCCTCCCATTGTACCCCCATGGTTTCAACGTTAAAATTTTGATTTACTGTATGTTTACGTCATGCACGCAGCACCAATTTCCGCCAATCTGAGCGCTCGTAATCGGGGCTGAGCCATGCCCTCTGCCAATCAACGACGCCCATTTACGAGCGTTAAGACCTCCACTGGTTTTGTTTAAATGTTTTCTGTTTTGCCAGTGGAAACAGCTATGTTGCAGACTCAGTAATATTTATATACTCGATTAAGTTATTTCAGTTAACAGTAGTTTACGCGGAACGGATTAAAGATGTTAACCGAGGAACTACTGTATTGGGATGTTTGGCCAACTCCAATAACGTGTGATTATACATGTGGGAGGAAAGCCACAACTGTGAAGAGGATAAATACTCAATCCCCGTACAGATGGATTAGATTGAAATGAATCCCCTTGCTGTACTGCCACTGTCTACCCATGTGATTCTGTAAGCACACCTCTTCAGTAGAATTCCTAATGAGTGTGTGAATGACTTGCCTTGGCCAGCTCCAATTCCACGTGCTCACCCACTGTTAGTGCATCCCAATCCACTGTCTGGAGACAAGCATTCTTTTGGAAGAACTCTGCATGGCCACACAAGGTAAAAATCACATTTAAATGGCACCAAAATCCACGATGAGCTATTATACAAAACATACATTCACACACTATCCACTCGCTCAAGAGTGGTCACAGTCGACCTCTATCGCGACTACCATTGTTAAAGTTCCTGTGAATTTCAATCATTGATTCCACCCATGTTGAAGACTTAGTCTCAACATGGGTGGAATGAGACTGTTGTCTCATCCATACTGTGTTCCACCACCACACTCACTCACCACAGGCTACAACACACCTCTTTCTGCTTCTTCCCTCACACCAATCCACTTTGTAATTTTATCCCACTGTCTCTTTTCCCAAGCTCTTATAACCCTGCTCAATGCAAGCAATGTGTGAACTCCACTTGACATTTTTGGTCTCAGGGTCTGGTGTTCAGAAACTGTGTTTAAAAAAGAAAATCTCATGCAGGAACTGGAACAGCCTGCCCAAGCAGGCACAATAGTACTTAGGAGCTCTAATGATGCTGCCCACCACAAATGAACAGATCTTCCCCAGCTCCTGCTGCACCAATAACATTTGGCAGCACTTACACTCGCTTGCAGCCAGCATGCCTGCAGATACATTTCTTTCTGATCTCGTCAAACATTATAGAGACCAGGGCGTTTGCCAATTTAATGTACAGATATAATCACCTTCGCATTGCTCATTTATGATAATAGATTCCTTGTAAAAGGTTTGTTTGGTTAAATTTCGATTTAAAGCTTTCGTGAATGCAAGGATTCATCTTCTTTGGTTCTTTCGGTAAAGTCACGTAGAATGAGAATAAAATAATAAATTGATAAAATAAAATAACACAATAATATTCTCACAACGTTTCTGCCACAACACAAGCGGCCTTCATCAGGTGAAGGGACGAGACTGTCTGGAGGACAGCACTGGAGTGAAAAAGCCACGCTCAGATCACGACCTTTAAGCTGTGTGAGAAGAAACAAAGCGCCTTGACAAAGGAATTAGCATATAATTTAGCATTGAAATAGCTGAGTGATTAGCTTGTAACTGGTCACAGAAATAGTTATGTTAAAGTCAGAGCATATACATTCACCGAGGCACCTAGTACAAATCAAACATGAGAATTTAGCATTGAAATAACTAGGCAAATTTAGCATTGAAATAACTGAGTGATTAGCTTGTGACTGGTCACAGAAATGGCTATGTTGAAGTCAAGGCCTACACATCTGAGCTATTCACAGTAACTGGGTATACAATACAATATATAATGAATACTATATAGTGAACCAATAAAAAAGTAAAATATAAATTACCTCAATGTTATCAATAAACTCTATATTCTCCAATCAGCTAAGCTACCAACAATAAGTCGTTATATATCACAATGCTATATGGCGAAAAAAATGGGTGGATTCTTACCCTCAACTTGAGCAACATGGATAGCTACGGGTCCCGTTCAGACGGACGAGTTCATCCATGGTCGGAACAGAGGAGGGGGAGAGAGACAGCTGCGAGGCGCTGTTATACTCCATGTTGTAAACCATACCATTAACCGTGGTGTGAGAGGTATTAAGAGTCAATGCCAGCAAAAGAGCTGCGGTCAGAAGGTCATCGTAAAATACAATTAATTAAGAACGGAAATGGTTTAAAACATCTTTCCAATGGTTACTAAGCCAGAATCCATCTTCTCGGTTGAAATTGTCTCTGTGGTTGTATATGTGAATGGCCTCATGAACGAATCTCTCATGGTAGCCGGTTGGTTTGCAAAGAACCTCCGTCTTGGAGAAGTCAATGTCATGTGAGCCCACTGAATTATAACAGCGATCTGCCACGGCAGAGGAGTTCGTTCTACCGTGTTTCAAGTCTGCTTTATGTTCGTGGATGCGGTCCGAGATATGTCGTTTGGTTTCTCCAATGTAGCTACTACCACAGATGCTGTTCCAGACATACAGTACCCGGGCGTTTACAAACTAAAGTTCCTCTGTTGGCAGCTTAGCTGATTGGAGAATATAGAGTTTATTGATAACATTGAGGTAATTTATATTTTAGTTTTTTATTGGTTCACTATATAGTATTCATTATATATTGTATTGTATACCCAGTTACTGTGAATAGCTCAGATGTGTAGGCCTTGACTTCAACATAGCCATTTCTGTGACCAGTCACAAGCTAATCACTCAGCTATTTCAATGCTAAATTATCATGTTTGATTTGTACTAGGTGCCTCGGTGAATGTATATGCTCTGACTTTAACATAGCTATTTCTGTGACCAGTTACAAGCTAATCACTCAGCTATTTCAATGCTAAATTATATGCTAATTCCTTTGTCAAGGGGTGCCTCTGCGGATGTGTATACTTTAATTTAGCTATTTCAATGCTAAATTATATGCTAATTCCTTTGTCAAGGCGCTTTGTTTCTTCTCACACAGCTTAAAGGTCGTGATCTGAGCGTGGCTTTTTCACTCCAGCGCTGTCCTCCAGACAGTCTCGTCCCTTCACCTGATTAAGGCCGCTTGTGTTGTGGCCGAAACGTCGTGAGAATATTATTGTGTTATTTTATTTTATCAATTTATAATTTTATTCTCATTCTACGTGACTTTACCGAAAGAACCGAAGAAGGTTTGTTTGGTGTTTTAACAGCTGTTTTGTTGCCAGAAAAAAATGGGAAAAACCTATTACCATATTTTGGTACTGGCAAAGGAGGTCCCATGATGTAGATTGCTCATTTAATTGCTGATTTGTCTTCATACCCCATTCAAGGAATTTCCTCCTCAACATTGAGGTAACATCGTGTTGTGTTATTACGATGAAATCAAATCATTTCTCGGCTCCCTCACGCTCATATATACAAGTCACTACTCTACAGAGACTGCTACATTTCCTACAACATTCAGAAGGTGCACACGACTCTGACAATTTAAAAATGCCGGGAATGGCCCGATGGTCGAGTTATCTTAAGGAGTAATTTTAAACATGCACAAAATATATCAGCTCTGCGAAACTGTAAGCTGTGTGCAGAACTTGGTTGCATTCAATATATTTGTTAAATTGCCAAAACACGTGAAGCATCTACAGGCTATCCAAATTAAATTAATATTTTCAATATATTCCTATCATGATTCAGTTGCACGATTTGGGCCTTTAGTCACCGAGGTGCTTCTGCAGACCATTTACAGACATACCCCGGTTTCTGCCCAGGATGCGTTCCTGAAAACCAGAATGTAAACCGAACGTAGTTAAATCAAAGCTTTTTTGGTGGATCGTAGCCCGGTACAGTACCGAAACAGAGGATACTCAGTAACCCATTGCGCATCTATACTGTGTGTGGAAAGCGCATATATTATTGATATTACCTTATTTACTACGTGTAATTTTTGTTGTTTAATATGTAAAAATAGTTTACACTTGTATAATAATAGTCACCATAAATACGGTATGTGGGAAAAAAAGGTACGAATAGAGTAGACATGAAATTGACTATAGCCAGTCAGGGATGCTAACGCTTGGGCACCTCAGGACGTCTGCCACCTGAATGTTAGCTGTGGAGCGTAAAAAATGTGGGGCTTAAAGATTAAATTCGTAAATCTAGAGTACAGTCCGTTGTCCCATAACACGGTAGGTACGTTCCTGAAGAACACCGCGTTATAGAATAATCGCATTATAATAAATGTGGGATCAAGCAGAGTCCACGAAAACACGTGAGATGCATATGCAGGTTGAACAAAGACTGAGGCACGTGGGAAGCACCCAGCAGCATTCCGCTTTGTGTGATGCAATGGCAAGCCAGTCGTACAACTGCTTATTCTTACTCGCACGGCATAGTTCTGTTCGCTCGATCGCTTTATTTCCAATTCGCATTCCACGTTATAAAAAATGTGTACCATAATACATTCATTGCATTATATCAAATTCGCATTATGAAAAGACATGTTATAGGAGAACGGTCACAGCACGTAAAATGGAAATGGGTATCAATAAGTTGAGTATATTATAGCAAAAGTACGTAAAGCAGGCAGGCGTACATCAGGGTGTTACTGGACTTTTGTGAGCGTGCACACATTTCCGCTTTGGTAACTAACACCGCCGTTGCATGTGTATTGAGTCCAACTGAGTCGCAGACGTTGTCTTGGGAGCAACACGATTTATTTTACCGACTCAACATAACACAACCTGCACTTGGGTGTTGAATGCCCATCTCGCCACACTACGGCAGAACTATACACGGTTCGCTATCCAGGCCCGGACCACAAGCTGGGTCCCGGACCACGTGACTAGAGGCTTCTTTAACCCGACGTGGATCTTCTTCACCAGCAAGCCGAAGAACCCCGAGCCCCTTACGGGGCCTCTGTTATATCGGCTTGGGCTGGGGCTGGCTCCACCCCTCACCCCGCTCACCTTCTAGGTCTCTCGAGCTCTTTCCCGAAGGCTCCCGAGAGCTCTTTTATACCACGTGACCGCCCGGTGGCCCCCCTCCAATATCATCCGGTCCCGTGTCGGCAGGTCAACCAGCGTATCATGCCCCAACGTAACCCTGGCTGGCTGACACGCCCTCTTGCTCCCTCACCAGGAGCCCGCACCTTACACTGTACGTGGTGCCTCCGCGCTGACCAGCACTCACACAAACCCCGCTAGGGCTGGTAAGTGGGCTACACATAATGCCAACACATTATCCGCCGTGGCTTCGTAAGCCCGGCACCACAGTGACATTCACAGTCACTACACATGCAAAAAAGATATGCGTAGAATGAATTATGTATGCACATGTGTTTGTACCACTTACGATGCAAGAATTCCCTTATGTAATTTCCTTTTTCATATTCTGAACTCTTCAGCAGCGGTTTTACATCCACACTGGCCTTTCTGCTCACACAAATGCAAAAGACAAACATCCTAAGTTGCCCCCTTACAGGGTGTTAAACTAAGTCTGGTTAAGTGAACCCTGCTCATGTTGACAACACACAAGAGCAGTTTCACAGGTTTCTTAGGTTTAAGACCCCTTGTTGAAGGTTACACACGTAGACGACCCACGGATGCGGCGTTGTGGGATGTTGTTGGCATGAATGACGCTATATAAAATGAAAGTATTATCAATAATATATAGATGAACACTGAAGAACTAAAGGTGCAAAAATATAGTTGCCACGAGTGATTCATGAACTGATGCAAACTGATGTTCTGGGCTACAGAGCAGAAATTTGCAAATAGTTGAGTCTATGCCCATAACTATGAAACTTTGAAAACCATGTTTTTATATTGGACACTCAAAATTGGGGGCAATTTATTTGACTTTAATAAGAATAAGTCTGATTTATAATGTACACAATATGTGTGCAGCTAATCACTAACAGGCATGGATCAGATTTCACTCACTACTACTTCTCTATAGCTGGGAATCGAATCCAGGTGACCTGGATTGTAACAAACTCAACGATCCACTTCAGCACCGCTCATTCCCGAGGAGACAAGAAAAAAAATCACACAAGCACACATACAGAGCGACAATAACACGGCCCATTGGGAAACCTCTTCACGTCCTGGTATAATGCGCGTTTCAGCCAAATTAAAGGGTAAATTGAGGTCACCAACGTCTTTCACACCGTATGTAGCTAACCATGCTAATTGGAGGTGCGATGGAAGGACAATAAACTAAACAAAAAAAGCAGTTCTAAAGAAATTCGTTTTCTAATTACATTCAGAAGTGAATAGCACTAGTGGCTTCCTAATATCAGAAGGAAGCGCGTTCCAAACAGCCGCAGAAGCACATCTGAAAGAGCACGATGCGGTGACCATCTTTGTTCGATGGTTAGCCAAAAAGCCAGTGTGACGATGACACTGAGTTTGTGTGATAAACCAGAGTTGAGCAATAAATGTGTAGCGGCATCGTTGAGTGCTGTACGCGATTGCCACTACTTGTAACTTGTAATAACGGCCTCAAGTCAACAGGGAGCAGAAGGGAATCTAAGGGTGATGAATCAGGCCGTTGGGCTAAGGTAACCCTAAGGCAGCTCGGGACCACAGGTGCAAACCCCCAGACCCTCAGAAAGGGGGCTGGGGTATAGCGTCACTCCGCAGGTCCTTCCAGACGGTTCCAGAAGGGAGGAGTGGCTAGGGGCGGAGTGAGCCAGAATCCAGCATAAAAGACGATCCCCTGAACGGGTCCGGCAGTCGTCGTTCACCTGAAGACTCAAAAGCCACCCTGGAGCTGCCACCTTGAAGACCCGAAATGAAGAGCCCAAAGGGCTGAAACAGACCCCTGGCTAGGGTCGGGCGAAAAGCTTAACCAGTGAAGAGGCTAGAGTATAGCCAGTGATAGGTAGGCTAGCCGGAGGAATATCTCCCCAAGTATCGGGTGGAAGGGGCCATACCCCTTTGTGTTATTGTTACGTTATAATAAACGTACTGCCTCCAGAAGAGAGAAGTCTCCACAAGTTTTACACCCACTACAAATGTATGCTTTTTTTACAGAAAAAAAACATCAATTAGGCCCAATGTGTCGGTTTGAAAGACGTCAAGAAATTGGTACCGGTAAACAACATGATACAATTTGTTGTCATTTGTTGAGAGGTTTTTGAGATGCTGCATCTTGCAGATAAAAAATTCCCTGCAGAACATTCACGATCTTTTTGGGGCGATTGGTTTTAACGAGCACCGAAGAAGACTGACTAGGCACACGAAGAGGTGGGTGGCCAGCACCATGCCTAACCGCCTTTACACACGCTCCATCAACCAAGGGGAGGCCCAGGACTGGTTTAGATATTCGTCACTTGTGTTGGCCCTTTGAACAGAAATCGAAATTGGGTTGCTGGGTTCGTAGCGCAGCGCGATAACCGCTACACTACCGCTCCCCTCTTTGTGTGCAGCAGAGACTACACACATGAAATTATAACAAAAAATACTTATAAAGTTTACTTAAAACATTAACATGGGTCCTTCACAGAGGAGTACAACTGTAATTCAATAATAATCAATGACATACAAAATGTTTCAGTGGCCAGTGCAATTGCTTACATGGTCTGTATGATGTGCAGGTAGGTGGACAGGTCTTTGAGATCCCAGAGGCTCTCCGTTTTCTCTGCACACATGCAGTTCACCTGCATGACGTAGAATGGTAAATGTGGGTTAAAATGCAGATTATTTATCTTGATTTGAAGCATTCGTGACTGCAGGAATCCATACTCTTCGGTTCTTTTGGTAAAGTCACGTAGGTAGAAAAATAAAATAAAACAAAAAATAATATATCGCGCCTGAGGACGACCGCTTGTGCTGCGATTAAAAGTCATGATATATTCTTTTTATTTTTATTTTATTTTTCTACTTACGTGACTTTACCGAAATAAACAAAGAATGCAGATTATTGGTTAAGGTAAAAAACTGGCAAAATCTCCAGTGTCCAAACTAAACCATAACACCTGCCTTATCCATGTCTGTAAGGTGTACATGACCCTTTGAGATTCCTGGGTATTTCCCATTCTATACTCTATCCCATGGTTGTACTGAAAACAGTCGAGCACAGCATTGAACAAACTGCGTGACAATATACAGCCCTGGCAAACATTACCTAACCTCAACGACTCACATCATTAGTTCTAAAGCAGTTGGTTTTCATGCGGCTGGAATGTCACGGCATCCGAGAAGTGTGGGTGCAACATTTAAAAACGTCGATCAAGTTCATACTTGAAAAAATAAAACTTGCGAATAAGAGGACTCACCCAACTAATAAGAGCTGCGGATTTTCGTCCGTTAACCATTTTGAAACAATAAAGCACGCTGCAAAGAAACACCAGAGGAAGGGTAATGGTTGGTACACGTTGAATGAACACAATGCCCCTACTCACACTGCTGATATAATCAGAAGTGTATTTCACAAGTTAAGGCAATTGTGCTAATAAGTTATTTTACAAGGGCTACACTCGGCCGGCAGCCAACATCAAAGTGCATTAATTGTTCATTATTTAATTGAAACATATTTTTGTTCTATTGCCCAATTGTTGTATTCCCGCTGCGCAATCCTGTCGTGTCCTGATACAAAGAAATCGTCCAAAAAATACTTGGAACACAGCGCGACCCTGTGGGCGGGTGAGGGAGCGGCTCTGCGAGAGATTTCACGCGACTTTTGAAACAACAGTCGCCGTTCACCACAAAGGGGCGGTGGACATCACCACGGCGGGACAGACGCAGGTGCCATGGGTTCACCGACTGAGACGACTGGCAGATGACCCAAACTCTGCTCCCCAGTGCCAACTCTCTGCGTTTTAATCGCCCGGCGCTCTGCTCGTTGTTGTGAGCGTCGCTCCTCTGCCCTCCGTTGTTGCTGGAGGGCGACTGCCTCCAAATGCCCAGCAGCTTCCTTCACGAACCTCCTCCACAGAGGCCGATCTTGACACTGCTGGTACCAGTGACCCTCATCGCAATGCACTAGCACAGACTGATAAGTATTTGGAAACTTGTACACAGTGACATTTTAAACTCTCACTATCACAGGGCTGGCTGGACATAGGCTGCGCTGCACAGATTTGAGCTGGGTTAATACACAAGTATAATGTATATACTGTATAGTGTAACACGGGAAAGACTAGTGTACCTTGTATCGTATATATAGTGTAACTTGTACACAGTACTGTATAGTGTATATAATGTAATGTGTGCACAGTACATTTCATGTATATAGTGTAACGTGTACACAGTACAGTACAATGTATAGTGTAACGTGCGCACAGTACAGTATGTGTAGTGTAACGTGTGCACAGTGCAGTATATTGTGTGTAGTGTAACGTGTACACAGTACAATGTATATAGTGTAACGTGTACACAGTACAATGTATAGTGTAACATGTGCACAGTACAGTATGTGTGTAGTGTAACATGTACACAGTACAGTATATTGTGTGTAGTGTAACGTGTACACAGTACAGTATATTGTGTGTAGTGTAACGTGTACACAGTACAATGTATAGTGTAACATGTGCACAGTACAGTATGTGTGTAGTGTAACATGTACACAGTACAGTATATTGTGTGTAGTGTAACATACACAGTACAGTATATTGTGTGTAGTGTAACGTGTACACAGTACAGTTTATTGTGTGTAGTGTAACGTGTACACAGTACAGTATATTGTGTGTAGTGTAACGTGTACACAGTACAGTATATTGTGTGTAGTGTAACGTGTAAACAGTACAATGTATAGTGTAACGTGTGCACAGTACAGTATGTGTGTAGTGTAACATGTACACAGTACAGTATATTCTGTGTATTGTAACGTGTACACAGTACAGTATATAGTGTAACATGTACACAGTACAATGTGTATAGTGTAACGTGTACACAGTATAATGTATATAGTGTAACGTGTGCACAGTACAGTATGTGTGTAGTGTAACGTGTGCACAGTACAATATAGTGTAACATGTACACAGTACAATGTATATAGTGTAACGTGTACACAGTATAATGTATATAGTGTAACGTGTGCACAATATAATGTATATAGTGTACAGTGTAACACGGAAGACAAGAGTTTTAGCTGATATACAGTGTACAATGTATCTATTGTAACAGTACTATAGTATAACAGGCTAACGCGGGTATACGAGATGTGGCATAGTTTAATGTGTATATAAAGAGTTAAAAAAGTGTAACTTGAGGTACAGTCCAGCCTCTCACCGCAACACCGTACGCGCGCCACTCGGCCCCAACCACTTTTCAAACGCCAACGACTGCCTCAACGCCGCCTCCTTATTGGCTCGCCGCACTTGACGTCACCGAAGTTGACCCAATAGCCGCGCGAGAGCAACGGCGCCGTGATTGGCTGGGGAAACGCGGCTCGGGGCTAATGAGGTGTGTGGGGGGGGAGGTATGAGAGCGCGCAACGCGCGCACGTGACGAGTCACGTGACGAGCAGTCGTGGGGGGGGGACGGTGGGGGGGGCGTATGGGGGGGGGACGGTGGGGGGGGCGTATGGGGGGGGACAGTGGGGGGCGTATGGGGGGGGGACGGTGGGGGGGGGGCGTATGGGGGGGGGACGAGGGGGACGGGGACAAGGGGGAGGGGCGGGACGGTGGGGGAAGGACGGGGGGGGTAAGGGGGGGAACGGGAGAGGAACGGGGGGCGCAGGGGGGGGTAAGGTGGGGGGGGGACGGTGGGGGGGGGACGGTGGGGGAGGAATCGCGGCACGTGACGGAACCATAGCAACGGATATTTTCCTTTGGGGGGTCACGTGGGAGGTTTCCGCCAATCGAGGACACGGTGTCCATAGCAACGCGTGGTGCAAGACACGCGGGGAGAGAGACGTGGGAAGGGAGACGCGGGAGCAGAGACAAGAGACACTCGCTGGGGACAAGAGACACTCGCTGGGGACAAGAGACACTCGCTGGGGACAAGAGACACTCGCTGGGGACAAGAGAGCGAGCAGGGAGGGTCGCCGGGTGCACGGGGAGACGAGGCGCGGGTGGTCTCCTGCGTGCCCCACCCGTTGGGAGCGTGGCCCACCTCCACCCCGCTGCTGTTCACAGATGTCGGACGCAATGTCCGCTGCCGCCACCACCCAGAGAGGCAAGGGCACGCAGAGCGCCAGTGGCGCCACACTGGACTTCTCATTTCGCTGCATCACCGCCATGGAAGGTACACGAGCGCCGAGCGGGGCCCCGGCAGGGTGGCGACGCAGTGGTAACAACTCGCATTGGGCCCCTTTCTGTGTGGAGTTTGTGTGCTTTCCCCCCTGTTCCGCGTGGGGTTTGCAACGTGTGTACTCCGGAAGCTTCAAATCAAGATTGAGGCGTTAAGATGTTTAAACGCCAAATAGGTAATACTCTTTGGTTCTATTCGGTAAAGTCACGTAGGTAAAAAATAAAACAACACAAATCACGACGTTTCGGCCACAACACAAGCGGCCTTCATCAGGTGAAGGGACCAACCTGTCCAGTGGACAGCGTTGGAGTGAAGAAATCCAAGCGCTGGTCGCCTCCTTTCGCCTCCTTTTAAGCTGAGGGGGTAAACGGCAAACGCCTTGAAAAGGAAATAGCATAAAACACGCCACTAACAACGCTTGAGATTAGCGCAAGATGATAATACACCACCCTGGAAGTTTGGAGTGCCACTACGAGAATAAATATACTATACCATTGAAAATTAGTTTAATGTTTGGTTCGATTTTGAACATTTTCCAACGGTTGCTTAATTTGAAACCATCTTCTCGGTTGAAATTGTGTCTGTTTGTAAATATGAATTGCCTCGTGGACAAATCTCTGACGATAACCTATCGGTTTGCAAAGGACCTTGGTATCGGAGAAAATTATATCGTGATCACCCACAGCGTTGTAAATAGGTATCTTTTGCGAGGAATTAAGTCCGCATTAACCACACGTACTTGTGGTATAACATGTAAACAAACATCTATTAGTTTGCATGTTGTATTTGGTGTTTGCCAGAAAGGGTAAAATATTTGATTTTTTCCCACAAGTAGCTCTGTAGTTGGTGGCTGCTGCGGGCTGTTGCTACCGAAGCTTGCTGCGTTAACCGTCTTAACGGGATCTTCCGCGTAACAAATACGCATTGAGTTGAAATGGTGGTATAAGTTTGGAAGACACAACGCGACAGTGATTGCGACACCAAAGAGCTTGGGGTAACGGATACAGAAGACTGACACGGTTCATTTACGTAAGCTCAAACTTCTGAATTAGTGCATTTTTTGCCAGAATAATCTTTCAATCCTACAGAATATAAAAAAACATCATAATACGTATTGTCTTGGCATTTTATTTCGTAAAAAAGGTAGATCAATTTTAGTTTCCGAGTACGGTACAGGATTGTGAGAAAAGTATGGAAATAACAGCAGTCTCTTATATTTTATACTAGCGGGAAGTACCCGGCGTTGCCCGGGGGAAAATTTTATTTTAAAATTTCTCAAAACTTAAAAACATAACATATGCAAATGAAAATAAAACTTTGATCATTACCTCATCAATTAAAATAAAACCCAACGCGCGGTGGAAATAAAAACTTACGCTCGCGCCAAGATTCATTTCTTTAAATCGAACAAAGTAATCGAAGGTTGTAGATTTATTTATAATCGGCCTAGTCCCGTTTAATCGATACCACAAACGCTCACCAGATATCGATTCTCGCCAGTCCTGTATGCGGGTTAACGCCACACACTTCATGGTCATCCCCCCCCCACCACCACAATATACAAAGTATATTTTTTAGGTTTTACATTGTGTACAGTATGGGAGCTAGCCACATGGCAAATTCAAGTTTGTAGCCTAGTATATTATATCCATTCCCCCCCCCAGCCGCGCATTTGTGCGGGATACAGGGTCTACGCGCAGGGTGGGGGGGGGGATGCGTGACGTCAGCAGGCACACTGCGTGACGCTGCCGCATGCGGGTGACATCACAGATGTGACGTGACCGCTCACTTGCCGTGCAAAATATATGCATTATTGCGCCCCCCCCCCCAATACAAAAGTCAATTTTTATACTTTTTGCATTGTGTACAGTCTGAAAACTACCCACATGCCAAATTTCAAGTTTGTAGCATGTTGGGAAGTACACTAAACATTTCGAACAGACACATTCACAAATTTCCCTTTTATATATGTAGTGTTTATAATGACGAATACACTTCTTATGAGGCACACTCTATTTAAAATCTGCTCAAATTGCCTACACAACTTAAGTCCTTTATTTGTCATAACGGTATGTATAATACAGTGAAACTGCTCTCTTATCTTCATTATTATTTGTGACCTACCAATGTCTGCAGCCAGGATCAATCGATGACAATCCTATTAGATATTTAACAGATGAGATGCATTGCGCAGTTAATTCCTCCTGTTTGATAATACTTCTCTTGTCCGTATGCATCTGTGCAGATAGGGGTTTTTTTTGCGGTTAAGCCATAGTGCCCACATACCGCTCGTATCAATGCAGATAAGAGGAGCGGCGACCCACTACTCTGTAGAGTAACATTGGTATAAAGCGTGTTACAATATAAACAGCGCATTGAAAACGCGTACTATTTTATGTACTGTTTACAAAGTGTGTTCATAAATCCACACTGAGAAACGCGATGATTGACAGAGGGGTGTAAATTATTTTTTTGATAGTGTATTTAAATAGAGGTACTGCAAGTAAGTAGTTTTCAGTTGTAAAGGCATAGTTTAACAAGACAACACTTGCCACCATCCTTCAAACCCATTGGTGAAAAAGAGCAAAGATTTTGTTTACATGAAAATATAATGTTCATATGAAGCATGCATATTCACTGAGGCTAAGCAGTCTTCAGATGACACAAAAATAGGAATGCACCAAACAGTACGTTCCGTTATTTTGCCGCTGAATACTATAATAAGCAACAACATAAGCAAGATTGCAGAAAAATCATTATTTATGTTTGGTTCCAGACGAATATTTTACATTGATCTGGTAATGAAGTTGGAGTGCCAAGCAAATACTTTTTTTTACTTTTTATTTACTTATTACTTATTGTATTTGCCACTTACCTTTCTTATGCTATTCGTTGTGCACAGTTGCTCTTTATTTTGCACGCGGTTGAAATTTACTTTGCTCAGTCGGTGTTAGCCGCTGAGTTTGCGACGGGTTTATTTTTTCATTCGTGTTTTACTGTATACCCCTTTACCCTTCCGTTGTAGTGTGCACTGATGCCTACTTTATTTATGGCGTTATTGGCACGTAAAATAAAAGTGATTGATTGATGCTGTTTGCTGTATGCTTGCCCTGATTTGGAGTGTGTTGTGTCGTGTCGCTGTCAGACTTGCTCACAGAAGATCCTCGGAGTATGCCAGCGGAAGCAAAGGCGCGAAATGCCAATGCTGTGAAGGCCCCAAGCCAACACAAAACTGAGGATGCGATTATGGCAGCAAGTGGAACAACATCTATGCACGTTGCTAAAGTCGTGCCGCTAGGGTTGCTTGGTTATGCGAGCGTGGCCCCAAGCACAGACACCGCGCAGAGTGAACACAAGTATGACGTGACGGCCCTGCGCTTGAACAACAATGCGCTGACAAACCTTGAAGGATTCTGGGAGACGACAGCGGCACTGATTCAGCAACCTTCTGCCCTGGCATGGATTGATCTTTCTTTCAACCAACTGTCGGACATTCCGCAAGTAGGTGCAGATATGCAGTTTCACCTTAGAAAGTACACAGGGTGATCTGAAAGGTTTCCATGTGTCCACGCGCACAGGTGCTGTGTGACACTTCACTTGGCAAACGGACTCCATGCTTCCGTGCGCCAGGTAGTGTGATACTTCATTTGGCACATTTACCTCGCACGTCCATGTGCCAGATGCTGTGTGACACCTTGACTTCATGCTCCAGGTGCTGTGTGACACTCACTTGACACACTGACTCCGTGCGTCCATATGCCAGGTGCTGTGTGAGCTGCAGGAGCTGCGTGTGCTCTATCTCCATGGTAACACGGTGTCTCGGCTCTCCAATGTCAGCACTCTGGTCCCCTTGCGTCATCTCCGTTCACTAACGCTGCACGGGAACCCAATCGAGACGGAGAACCACTACCGGTACCAGCGCACACGATACCCACGGAGCCGTGACACAGTCCAGCAGTAGCGCTTTGACTGCTCGTTGATGAGGTTTGCAGTTCTAATCCAGCAATCGCCGTGATTAATACTGCTGTTGTATTGACCGGTAAATACTTCATGCCGTCTGCCTCACGGTGGACGTTAAAGAGCCCGTGAGGTCATTCGATTTGAGCAGGCCATTGTGTGCCAGCGTCACGGTCCATATTTTTTTAAATTTTAAGAATTACCTGAAAATTACTGAATTCGGATTGAATGTAGCAACATCGCCTCCTAGTAAACAACTGTAGACTTTGTGAAACATAGCTCTTTGATTCGTGATAACTTCGCGTTATAAGAATTCCGTGAATACCAAATGTACTAATTGTAAAATATGATAAACTGTAATGCACTAATTTATTATTAATAATAAAGTTTTTTGGGTTAGATTGTGTGAGTATAAATGTTGTGGATTTACTCTCCAACACACCAGTGGGCTGAATTAGTAACCAATTGGCGCGTTGTTTACGTGACAAACCTTACTGGCTGTGTTTGGTGGTGGAGGGTTACGGCACATTTATACTTACACGATCTAACCCAAAAGCCTTTATTATGAATAATATTGGTCATGAAAGCCTACATGCTAAAATTACTAATTTATTGTGCCTGCATGTCTTTGTTGCAGCTACTATGTGCTATCAGCACTGCCTTCCCTCAAATCTCTGGATTTCAGTGCTGTGACAAATCAGGATCGACAGACTGCTGTGATCTGGAGTATGAACCGTGCCCGGCACTCCAAACGAAAACTACGAGACCAGCAAGACTAATCAACATATTTGAACTTGCACACCTGACTTCATTCTGATGACATGAAGATAATCTAGAGGGAATGTCGATCTCAATAAATCTGCATCTGAACAATTGCTCATCACACTTACACATTTAAAAGCAAAAACCTAGGTTTTAAAATCAACACTAGTATATCACAAAGCATTAAACATTAAAATATGCATATTTAGGCATGTAGAGGAAAATTTTTATGCATCACCATTAGTATAAATTGAAATGTGACAGAACAAATTCACTTTAATTTCAATGTTGTACAATGTGTGGACAAACTATTATTTAATAACTAGGTTGTTGGGGGGCGCCTATGGCGCCTATGGCGCCCCCCAACAACCTAGTATTCATCATAGAAAGATAAAGTTGTGCGCTTACCAACGTAATGGATTGTCTGTCCCTGCAACTTGGTTATTGTGATAGCGTATGCGGCGAGAATGGGATATTGTCGTCGTCGCAAAACAAATGGCAAAGTCGTGTCAGTGGGGGCCAAGTCTATTCTGGGAATTAACACTGAATCGCCTCGTTCTCTCCCTCTCTCAAGCATTCATGATATTCATCATAGAGAGAGAAAGTTGTTTATATTTAAATATCATTTTACATCTGGAAGACTTCATTGAAAACGAATTTCGTGTGAATTTTCTCTCGTCGTTAAGTAAATGTCCTTGCTGGGGGTTCGGTTCGATGCAGAAGGCGACAGAGCTGGCTGTGCGGGAAGACCACCATCTGCAGATCGATTCCAACGTAATCGAACGTCCGTCCCTGCGCCTCCGTCGTTCATGCACGGGGCGTGTAGGTTTGCAACGCCCCTGCATGAAAACGAAGGGAAGTGCAGCGTTCATATTCATCACAGATAAAGTTGGGTGATTATATTATTAATAATATTGATCACTGTTGATTTAGCATCCTTTATGTAAACTGAAAACATGGGTGTGCATATTCTGTATATGTGTTACATATGTCTTTAGAGAAAACCCACGCAACTCTATCTTATACAGATGGAACAGATGGAGATTAGTCCGAACTTGCTGTACCACCTTCTCCTGGCCCTTCTCTGACCCTTGAGCGCTACATCTATTGCAGGCGCTATGCCGTACACATGCCTGCACATTGACAGGACGCTACACACGAGTTGGGCATAATGAGAGTGTCTCGGTAAAGTAAAAGTGTAGAATTCGTAACTCGCACAGTTTTTTTGTTCACTCTTGGACAAAGAACGATTCAAATGCGCAGGAAACCATAGCCAAGCGGGAAGGCCACAAGAACTGGTGCAACACAATTGCCCAAGTTTTCTGGTCCTATGTTAGAATGTTTGGGAAAACGAAATTACTTCTACAAAGCTGTGATATATATAGTTTGGGTTGCTGCGGTTCAGGTAACACGAGCCCGACGTCAACCCAACGGCCCGAGGGAATTGCCTCTTAGCCAGGGCATTGCAGTTAAGAGGAATTGTACCGTATATGGTAAATGTGCAACGACTTTGCATCGTGTTTGAATATTTTAATTAACTACATATGTTGAAGTCTTCGAGTCAAAATCCATAGTCAAAAGACCACGTGTATCCAGCTAAAATGTGTAATAAATGCAGTGCTAATTGTATTTAAAGACCCTGGAGTCACTGCTTATTTTACGATGCAGACTAGATTCTCTACTGGATGGCCAATGTTGACCACTGGTATCTGGAGCCATGCACACATTGCCAACAGTGATGACCACCCTGACCTTAACTCTGCAATGTGGGACAAAGGTTTCCACAAAGCGTACCTTCGGTATTTCAAAACTTTTTTTTCATTTTAGATACAGTATACCAAAGAGTATGGATTCCTGCAGTCACGAAAGCTTCAAATCAAGATTAAACAGTATACTGTTGCCCCAGGTTGCCCAGTACTGGACTGCAGATGCTGAATTTAGTTTTCATTGTTGTACGCACTGTTTCAAAGTGTGAAATTCATCTGACCCACATTTGCCATCCTACTTCGATTGTACAGGTATCCCTGGATTTATGAAAGGGATGCATTCAAAAAACAACGCATAAAAGAAATTTCGTGAATTGGAATGGCTTTTCCCATTAATATAATACTAAAAATTAGGGATTTGTTTCGGACAGTCATTTCAACTCAACTCCGAACCTAAAAATATACGATCACTTTTCACAATACACAAATAACAAGAACAAATTAAAACGAGTGTTAGAATGATGTGGAGGAATGATGTGGAGGCGTTAGTGTTGCACTGCAGGGCCACCGTGACACTTTCGCGGATAGATGACGGCGCAGCCTCCTGGGTGCTCCTCGTATGATGATCTCAGCGCCTGGCCATTGTGAAATTTCGTTTACGCGGAAATTCGATTTCGTTTCGAAAAGTGTCCATAATTTGTCAATTGCGTTCACGTGAACATTCATAAACCGAAAGTTCGTAAATCGTAACATTTGTAAACATTCAAATGTCACCTGGAGAACGTTTAAATTCAGGTTCTGTATGTACTATGTTGAACTTTCGAACCGTACGTAGCCAACCGTGCTAATTGGAGATGGGATTGCATGGCGCACGAGAGGATGGATAGCGAGTACCGCACCTGGCCGCCTTTATCTTCCCTCTGCTGATAGGTTTTCCACCATGGGAATGTGATGCCACGGCCTCGAAGCCACTTTGCAGGCACTGCGACCGCCCCCACCCCCTGACCTCCACACTGAATACACACTTTGCACACACGTAATGTCCTGACGTTGGGTCGCCTGGCAGTCGAGTTTTTATCCAAGGATTCCTCTGGGGAATGTCCAATGGTTTTGTGGTGCCACCGCGACGGAGTAGTTCCGTCAGGGACCGCGCCCACCGCCGCGACACCACCCCCGGGGGGTGACAACGCCGACGCGGCGCACTGCGCCGCAACCCCCCCCCCCCGCACGAACGCACACACACCCCACGTAGAGCCGGAAGGGGAGATCACCTGGCCGATGGGTTTTTTTTCCAGAAGCCCCTAATGGGATTAAGTTTCATGGTTTCCTACGGCCGGGAATTGGGGCGATCTCCCCCCGTAGCTGACACGAACCGCGGCGCCGTGACCTGATATTAAAATCACGTAGTCGCGGCGGAGGCCGTAAAGCCACCACGGACGAAATTACACAGACGCGGCACAGGGCGTGTGAACCACGAGATGCCTGTTGTTATAGATGGAATTAGGAACTGAATGCCCCTGATTATAGGTGAGCTCACGGATCCAAATGACAACAGGATAGGAGCATTCAGGCCTTTGAATGAGCAGGGCGACACGGGGCGGAAGCATCTGAATGCTTTTGTGCTAGATAAGGTCACAGGACGGAATGCCTTTGTTAGGATCAGGGATCTAGATAACGAAGGGGTAAGAATATCCAACATCTGAATGGACAGGGCCACCTGGGGTGTTAGAACCACAGTGCGCCTTTATTATGAATGGGATTAGGGACTCGATGACAATGAGATAAAAATAACTCGGCCTCTGAATGGACAGGGCAAGCATGGGTGCGGGAGCACCGGAATGCCTTTAGAGTGGATAAAAGCACAGGCTGGGGGTAGCGGGAGGAGTCTTTTTCAAAATCATCGTGGTCCACGGAGCAGGATTGTCAGCCGTTCGAGACGTCCGTGCGACGAGCCCAGCGCAGCTAGATTCAACTCTCTACGGAGACGACTCACAGTATCGCCTTTCTACAGCGTTCAGCGCAGCAGAGTGGAAGCAATCGTAAGTAGAGGAGAGGTAAGTTTGGGCTATTGAATCGAGGGTAGAAAGCGGAGCTATAGGCAGGATAAGCTGAATCTGGGCTCCTCGAGGAATAGGCTAAGAGGGCCTTCTGACTCCCACAGACACTCGTAGTTAGCGGGATACTCACGGGGAATAAAACCGCTAATAGAGGATAAAGCTGTGTCGTGGTCGCTGTGAGTGCGAGGAGGGAGACGGAGTGTTTGGTGTTCGCATACCTGTACGAGTGTGTACAATACTGTTTTGCGCTCGTGCGCATACGCGGCTGTTTGCAGCGGATACGAGAGTAAAGAGTGCTTGGTGGTCGCGCGCACGCACGGTTGTTTACATCGAGGCGGAGCGCTTAGCGTGCGCGTGCCTGCGCGGCTGTTTATGGGTGTGCTGTTCAGCGTGCGCGTGCCTAAGCGACTGTTTTCGGTGGTGTTTAGCGCTCGTGTGCATGTGCGACGGTGTTGTGGTCGCGTGCCTGCGCGATTGCTAATCGCGAAGTAGTGAACTAAAGCGCCGAGCGCGCGCGTATTCGCGCGACTGTTTGAACGGGCTCTTTAACTCAGAGCCAGGCGACCCTCAATCGGCGGCGCGCGCACGGCAAACGTCCCGCCCGCCCATCCCTCGACCCCAACCCCCTCGCGTGCGATTGGTCTACTGGGCTGGGCAGGGGGTAGAGGCGTGTTTGTTATTACCGGGGCACGTGGAGCGGGGGTGGGAGGGAGACACGCGCCGCGCAAGTCTGTTAACGGGCGGGAGGGAGTTTTTATGGGCGAACGCCCTCCTCACGGTACACCGCCTCGCAGCGCACCGCGAGCGTAAAGTGACGTGCCCTACCCATCGGTGAAAACATGCAGACACGGTCAGCAGCACAGGAGGGCGGGGTAGTGGAGGTCGCTAGCCCGAACCCCACAGAGCAGCCGGGGGGTAGTGGGATAAATGTGGCGGGGGAGTCGGGAGCCAACGGCCCCGACAATTCGGTGATGGCGGGGGACATTCGGCCCCATAGTTTCTCGATGCCAGGAGTTTGGCTCGACGCAGCAGGACAGTTCACATCGCAGTGCCCCAGAATTGGCTTCATAGTGTATGGGCGCAAAAAGATTACCGGGTCAGCTGCGATGAGTTGTACATTCCTGAATACAGTGTCCGGGTGGGCCAGAGGAAAAAGTGCGGGGGAAAGAAAACAGTATGTTGGGGGAGCTCAACGCCCGCTGTGAGAAACAAGTTCGGTAAGGCCACAGGTAGGCGCACGATTGGCCTCGCGTTATCACGTGACCCAGGTTTTTTTGTTGTCGGATGTAAAAAGGCCAAGATCTGGGTCAGTCCTCACTTCGTCAATCACAGCGTCCGTGTAATGCCAGTGACTGCAGCTACGAAGTACGAGGTAAGACGCTTGGTTGATAAGGTGTTTCTCGCAATACTCTCCTCCCAGGTCATACCGACTAGACAGCTTACTTACGAGGGTTTGTTTGCGCCGAAAATAAAAGTATTAGCATGGATTGTGTGTGCCGTGGTGGTTGCGATTTCCGTGTGGAGCTACCACGTATACGTAAGTGAGTCAATTTTGTGGGTGGTTGTGTGTAGACCACCATGTACACATGCTCATTCATTACGCAGGTGGTAGAGCGTTCCGTGGCCTTTTGCTAGTGGCAGTTGTTGTGTGCGCAGGCATGTGTTTTAACTCCACGTGGCCCCAACCAGCAATACAGCATGTCCCTTAGGGACACCGCTAACCAAGGGGGCCCAGTTACTCGGTCAGGGGGTGCCAGGCAAGGGCAGCCCGTCGCAGTGGAGGATGGGGAAGAATGGGCGGATGTTGCGCCCCACTTTCCCGTAAGGGCAGCAGGGTGGACGTCGGGCCCCACATAATGGTGTCAGAAGAGGTACAACTCCCCATGCGTCTGTAGTGTTGTAAGGACGAGCAGACTTCTTTAGGAGGCACACTCTGTTTATTGTATTATTTCCTTATACAATGCTTAACACACACAGAGAGATATTTGGTCCCCTCACCCGATACCCTAGGGAGGTACAGCCTCCGGACCTGGCGGGACTCACACGTCTACCGCTAACCTCCTTGATACCTAAGGAGGTACAACCTCCGGACTTGGCGGGACTCACACGTCTACCGCTATCCTAGTCCTCCGGCTAGGACCTAGGGGAGGCTATCTGACCCACCGCTGGCCCGGTGGGTCCTGACCACTGGGTATGCTGAGCCTTAGCCCTTAGAAGGGCTGGGAGGCTGGTCCAGGGTCCTAGCTAGGCTTCAGCCCAGTCTTCTGTCTTCGTGCAGGGAGAGAACTCCCCGAGGTCCGTTGGGTCACCCGTCTTATACTCCTTCGTGGCCAGGTAGAACCAATCATACATTCCCACGTGGAACCGTCTGATTGGTTCGTACCAAACCCTGGCTACGATCCGTTTCACCTCGACTGACCCCAACCGTTGTACCCAGGGGTAATGCTGCACTGCCCTGATGGCAATGCAGGTTACGCAAAACAGCGCGTAGTTAACACCTCTACATCACCCCCTCCTTCGGAAGCTCCAGCCGTCCCGGCTGCAACAATGGGAACTCCGAAATTACCAACGGTAGAAGAATTGTGAGTGTGCCTCACGAACAACAAGAACAAGAACAATAAAACCCCTATAAATACCCCCCTTAACAACATAACGTTAGTACAAGGCACTAGACATGCCAAAAAAAATTATAACAACCGGCGAGATTTCGCACGCGTGTGTTTCGCGGAACCATTGTAGGGGATGGCAGGCTTTGTCGGCGGCACAAGGGAAGGAGGAGGATGAGCCAGAGCATCCGGTGGGCCTTTAGGCCTCTCCACGGGGACACCTGCTGCTCCACGGTCCATTGAGGCCGAACGTGGCCTGCATGGAG